ACTTTGTCTTGAAACTTTGCATAGCAATGGGCCTTAAAGAGAACAGTATATTATCCAGGTCGAATATACTTTTTTTTCGGTGCATTCCAGTGAAATTTCTATGCTTTTCTGCAGTATTCGCTATCTGTAATCATTGTTCTGAGTATATAGGTTCTGTCAAAAACGTTTTTGTTATAACCGTATCATAGAATAGGAATATATTTGAGTTCAATAAAATAAGTCGATTGTCAATTACCTGCGGTCGTATTCTGTGTTGGTGGTTTCTTTATGAATATAAATGTTGAGTTAAGATTCATATTCATTGTTGATGGTGTTGAATAGTTGGCAAATAAAACACAAGTTTTATTACTTTTGTAGCAATTCAATCCTACATACGATGATGATACATTTGAAAAAAATGCATAGCAAATACATTCTGAGCATGTATTTCTGTATGTGATAACAGTAATAGTATCGTTAGAAACATATGTTGCGTTGTAAATATAACCAATACGTGTTGTACAATCGATCATGACAAAATTCGCAGCAACAACAAACAGCATGAAAACTAATCTCACCATTTTTTTTGTTAAATAAAAGCTCAAGTCGTTAAATACTCAGTTTTTTCTTCGACCAAATGAAAGAAAATATATTTGTAGATCATTTTATATCTTTTTTAATGCATTCTCAAGTGTACTCTAGAAGAACTGTGCATTATACTTCCATACAGTTAAATATATTTTTAAAGGTCACCTTATCTTGTTCTAATTATATCGGCAAAAGAATTTTTTGAATATTCTTATTGATTCTTTTTATAAAAATGTGTGTATCATTTGTTATTGCTAATGTTTATATACTTAGTTGTTATTTCAAAGATTGATAATGTAAAATGGAAGTGTATTTTTATACTCTACTTCCAGTTGCCGTATAGAAAACTCTCATAAAAAAAATAAAGTAGAATAATAACAATTTTAGAGAAGAAAATATAAAAGCTATCTAAAGTGGTATAATTGCACATATAAGTTTAGTATCAACTAATTTAATTGTATACAGAGTTTTTTTATTTCCATAGCGTATCTGAGAATTTATACGAGTTACCCAACTCGTTTGTCATCGTATTTGTGTCAACTTGTCCTAGATGAAGAAAAGAACAATACTCTAATAACGGGTGCGGCAAAATAAATGAGCCTCTCAGTCTTTTCGTCATATCTCTCTCAATTTTGGACATATATACTTGAATTTTTTTCAAAAGATAGCTCGTGAAATTCTCTACAAAATCTTATAGAAAGAGCTCTTCGAACGAGTAACTATAAAATTATATCCGACTAAGCCTTCAAGGTTTCAAAATGGTCTGCTATCAAAGCATTGCTTTTCATATCAATGATTTTGCACCGCTTTTTTAAGCATAAACAAAGAGAGTGAACAGGCCATTTTGTAGCCCATAAAAAGCTCTATTAGTTGAGAAAATATTTTTTTTGACATACTATAAGTTTATTTGAATAAAACCTTTTTTCTATTTTCGCTCTATTCGCGTTCTAAGAATCTTTCATTTCGATAAAAATAGAATGCTGAAAAGTCTTTTTTTCTGCGACGCATGACGTGTATAACAAGAACTATCGATGGTTTTGACTAGTTTTCAAAGAAGGTGGAGCGCTGAAGTCTCACAATCTTGTTAAAAAGAGTACATATGAAAACACATAAAACTTGCTTCAGTGATGGGTCTCATATCTGTTTCACTAGAAGAAATGAAATAATTACTTTTATAAAAATATACGTTTGAAAGTAATCTATTTTGAAGTCTTGAAGCGTTGATCGGATATAATTTTATAGTTACTCGTTCAAAGAGCTCTTTCTATACGATTTTGTAGAGAATTCTACGGGCTATCTTTTGAAAAAAGTCCAAGTATATATGTCAAAAATTGAGAGAGATATGTCGAAAAAACTGAGAGACTCATTTATTTTGCCGCACCCCTTATTCAAATAGACAAAACTGTCAATGTAACTCTCTAAATCGAATCAATTTAATAGTAAATCAACGATACGAACAAAAAGTGACGTCCATGTGGACAAATATGTGAATGTGATATTTATTCCGTTAAATTCATAAACATCCTCGAGTTTTTAAATGAAAATTGAGCTGAGACGAATATAAAAGACGTTTAATTTGCTTAGAATACTTATTGTAGTCTATACCTTAGAGTCATTATATTTGTCATAAAGTAAATAAAAGTATTGTGCACATCCGGTCCCTAATTATGATTCTTATTTTCTATTCTTTCAGTTATTGAGTGTGATGCGTGATGATGTAGATCTGTCATGAGGGTATATAATCATTCTACACCCAAACCCTTTTATTATTAACATAGTTTTTTCTTACAATACTCTCATTTTTAACAGTTCTCTGCATGTCTGATAATAAATACTCCACTTAAGTTATTAAGTAATGTCTATAATCAATTAAATTGTTAAATTTTGATTCTTGTATAAACATGTTCTCTTAATCTTTTAAGATTGTTTATGCTATTATCTAACTATAAAATTTATTACTGGAAAAAGATTTTTCATAGACGTGTATTTACATAATTATTTCATCTTTAACATGTATTTCATCTAAGAGATTTATTTTTCTTATGTAATCTAGTTCAGCTGATGAAATTAAATACATTTCTAAAGGTCTTTTTTTTGTGATATAACTTGTTTTGTTAAGTACGTTGGTTTGTATTTAGATAAATTCTGTAATTATTTATTTTCTCATCAGCATAATACAATAATTAATTTCCTTGAATAAAACAAAAATGTTCTAGTAGTATTTTCTACATTATATATGTTTTTATCTTGGCATAGAAAATATCTTTTATTAAAAATTAACATTATTTTATTCTAAAGTTAAAATTTCATAGTCATCTTTTGCACTTATTTATTGACAGTTTAGTATACTAGTTGTTCGCACATTTTTTGTGAAATATGAATCAAAAGAAGTATTGACGTATATAGGATGGAAGTCCCCGCAGATCGTGATTGAATAAGAAAGTTATACTTCTAGTGGGCTTACACAACAGAACATATTTTTAGTAAATTAGCCAAAGAAGAATTTTCTTGTTGTGCGATATTGAGAAAACAGAATAGAATTTATAATATTTGTCTATTATTCTCTATTCACACTCATTATCAAAGTATCTGACACTTGAAAAAGTGATATATATGTTGCTAAATCCTTTCATATATAATATAATAAGATTCACCTTGTTTTACATTTTTTCTCCTCTGATCATATTTTCATGTATCTACAAAGAATTGTTACAGTAGTGGAAAGAAAGTTTATATCTATCCAATCATATAAATTATGAATAAAATAACAGATAATAATCAATTAGAAAATAATGATGAGTTCTATTGATTTCGAAGGTATGCATGAGATATGTCTTAATAATAATTCTAAGAAAAAAAATCAGATTAGATTTTTTGTTATAATAGATTTTATAGTAAAGTTAATTAATATGACTTATTTAGAGAAATTTATGTTTAGAATATGATTATTTTTCATACAAAGAAATGTAAATATCCTTAGACGAACATTTCTTTGAATTATTTTATTTAGAATAAATTAAGGTAAATTAATCAGTACCTTATGACGTTATTTCAGTTCGAAAAAATAGTATAATCTTTACATAAATATTTTTATTATTGTCAGTATCGTTTCTCTCATAAAAAAACTAGTAAATTATAAAATAGAATATCAAATATTGAAATAGATTCTTTTTAGTGAATAAAAGAATATTTTATTTTGTAAAACACGAACTGAAAGGAATGTATTATAGTGTCATTCACATATATTTCTATCTTTTTTTCTTGTTGTATAGATGACGCCTACGACATACGTGTATATAGAATCTTTTCTTTCTTTTCTTAATCTTCTTACATTTTTCAAACATTATCGTTAGATGTTGTTCAAGTATGTTCCTTTCCATAATCCATTTATTATCTATATTTCAAACCGTTTGATAAATAAAGCAGACGCTTAGCTTTGATCGGTCACATCGATTCTTCTGTTAATACAGGCAGTCTTTAAACTTACTGAAGCAGTTCTATTTAATATTTAAAATAATAGTTTTACATTTAAAATCACAGCAAAGAATACTTATGTATTTTCTCACCAAAAACAGACGGTTGTTCGTGTTTCACATTTCGATCTCACAGTACTTTCATTAATAGGTTTTATATTAAAGTATAGTTAAACAAATAGAAACCTCTCATATTTTCTCCTATTAATAATATGAAATACTCGATTAAACTGTTCCATGTGATTAATAAAATAAATCTGAAATTGATATTTATATTTTTTGTAGATTTTTTCATTTTATCGAGAAATAAGTGAACATAATAAATATATATAAGATGTCGATCTTATTTGTTCATAATGAAACAATGTTAAATATTGAATCGTGGTTTATATCATTTGATATATTATCAATTCTATTTACTTTATTAGTCGTTGGATGTTCAATATTTTATTTATTGATTATTATTCTTAATAAAATGTGGCATAGTGTTCCAATGATGTTAATAACAAATTCATGTTTAGCTCATCTTATATTTGGACTTGATAGAGTTTGGATAGGTGGATTTCGATTACAGAATGATCTTCGACAAATTCAATATGAAGATAATTTATGTATTTTTCGAATTTATATTGCATATGTTGCATGTGCTATATTAAATTTTTCTTATTTATTACAATCTATTTATCGATATATATATGTAGTTTACCCAAGTTATTTATTTTGGCAATCAAGACAGATACAATTTTTATTTATTTGTTTAACATGGATATTAAGTATTACATATCCATTTCTATTTCTATTTAATGGACAAATTATTTATGATGTTCACAATCATATTTGTCAATTACCATTTCAATTGTCATTTTCATTAATTTATATGTTAAATTGTAGTTATATAATACCTGTTTTCTTAATAATGATAACTTATTTTAAATTAGTTTTATATGTTCGTATGATGAGTAAACGAGTAATACCAGTTAATATTTATATTCGTGCAAAGCGACAATTAAGAATGGTTCGAAATATTGTTATACTTATACTGATTCTTCTTATAACTGGTTTTCCTTATGGTGTATTTGTTGTTATGTCGTTTTTTAAGAATATACCTAAATATCATTGTCGATTTTCTTGTGTATTTTTCGATGTATTTTCTGTAACAGTAATGATTGCTTTATATCAATTTACAGATCCAATTAAAATGTCTGTGATGGGAAAAATTAAACAACGACGAAAGATAATGTTAAGAAAGTATCGTTTAACCTACTAAAATTCAACACTTTTTATTTTTTTATTGTGATTTTGTTGTAATAAGTGAAATTAAATTTCAAATAAATATAACATAATTAATTTTTCTAACAAGAAAACTAATGATCGAATAAATGTTAGATATCGTCAAACCATGTCAAGAAGTAAATTAATCATTTTTATTAGATAGAATCTATGTCGAACGATGTATAAACAAATATTATACAGTGGAAGAGATTATGTAGTTAGTTGTGGTATATGAATGTGATATGCACATCTGCACTAATTTAAACTATTGTTGATCGTGAAATTTCGATATATTTATAGTCATTTGTGTTGCATATATGTCACTACTGAATGTCTCGTGTTCAAATGATTCAACATGAGAATGTGAATTTTAACGGATCAATGTATGTGAGTATGATCTTGAGTATAAACAGAATATGTATAGCATATTCATATCTTCGACTTGATACATGAATAAATGTAGATGAATATGATACAATTAATTGAAGTAAAAATAGATTATTATTAAAAAATACAGAATATTCTATAATAAGCAAAGTATAAATAACATTCGAAGAAGATATTCATGTAGAATTACGAAGTAAACAAGAGAGATTATCTTAATCCTAATCATTGAAAAGTTTAAATCATTTATTCAATAAAATATTGATTTCAACTACGTGAAAAACATATTTTCTTTCTGATACGCTCTTAACTGAGTTTTTATAGACATATTTAATTGATATCCTGTTCTAACCAGCTTCTCAGTATTTTAATCATATATTTTCATTTATGTAAATAATATTCATCATAAATTCTAGGACATGCTGTAAACGAACGAGATCTAAGTTGAGAGATTTTGTAAAATAACATCTTGGTTGAGTCATGTTTTAAAACTTTTAAAAAAATCAATTGTGAACAAATAAATAATTGAAGATTCATTATTGGTGGGATACCCGTTATTTTCGAATCCTATAAATAAATGTTTCTTATTGAACACCACGATTATCTCGAATATCATCTTGTCATAACTTGATCTATATTGAATTGTTTTTAATGTATGTAAACACAACGTTATATTATCATCTCTTGATTCTATATCAAAGAAACATATCTTAATGCATATAGAATCATGATTATTTTTAATGATAAAAATTGTTGAAAAATCAAGAATTTTATGCAAAGAATCTAATATATTATCGAACTAATGATATATCAAATTTTCTTGACGTTAATTTCGATATGGAGTATTTTTCCTCTACATAATAATTCTAACCTGAAAAAAGTTCTCTTCGATGTTTTTTTTTAAACCTTTTTGTCCGTTATTTGTAATTTATATATTATGATGATTCTTCATTGTAGAAAGATTAAAATCTTTTCTCAAGTTTAAATAGCTCATCAGATGAAATATTTATTTAAATCGGATATACCATTTATAAAGTAAAAATAAACATTATTGTAATATCTTTTTAATAAATGATGAAACTATTTTACACTACAATAGTTCGTTTTGAAAACTAATGTATTATTAAATCTCTTTTCATGCACTAACATAAATCATCAAAGTCATACAGTATAGTGGAAGAGGCGTTTCTTTCTACTAAGTTAATTATCCATTAGAATAAATATCAAAAGTACTCTTTTACCTTCTATAGAGAAAGAAATTTTTCTATTATTATAAATGTGAGTTAAGACACAAGAGTATCATTTCATATTTTCATTTAAAAACAATCGTCAATGGATAATGAACTTATTAAAAGATTAGATTATATTTCTGAACAATCTAATCGTTATTTCGGAATTCTTATTTTTATATTTGGTTTTGTGGGAAATATTCTTAATTGTTTTATTTTATCTCAACGAACATTTCGATTCAATCCATGTGGTTTACTTTTTCTTATTTCATCTTTTATTGATCTTATATCAATTCTTATTGGATTAATCACACGTATATTAGCTGGTTGGCAACTTGATCCAACAAGTAGAATTGATTGGATATGTAAATTTCGTGCATTTACAGTATTTAGTACAAGAACAATGAGTATTTGGTTAATAACATTAGCTGTAATTGATCGATGGTTTTTATCATCAATGGATTTACATCGAAGACAAATGAGTTCATTAAAAAATGTTTATCGAGGAATTATTTTAACTTCGATTCTCTCAACTCTTTCTTATATACATATGATATATTGTTATCAATCTAATATTATTGATGCACCATTACAATGCTATGGAAAAAATAATATATGTCGTTTAATAACAGATTTAGTCTATGCTCTTATAACAATTGTTATTCCATCAATATTAATGATTATATTTACTATGATGATTATATCAAATATTCGAGCTCTTCGTCTACGTATTCAAACAGTAACTATTCTATCAATAACAATTCCATCAAGAGAAAAACAAATAAAATATAAACGAACAGATCATCAATTACTTCGTATGCTTTTAGTACAAGTTATTCTTTTAGTTATATTTTGTGTTCCACAAGCAATACAAAAAATTTATATTTCATTTAAACCATTTGCTTCTGTTAGTAAAGAAGAAGATGCATTAAATCATTTTTTATATAATATTGAAGTACTTATGGCTTTTATTGCAAGTGGAATGCCTTTTTATCTTTATACATTATGTGGTGGAACAGTATTTCGAAGAGCATCAACACATTTTATAAAAACAATACAAAAAAAAATTAAATGTTTCTCTTAACTTTTTCTTTTATTCTATATCAATAAAGAAAAAATTTATAGTATTACAATAAAGCGTATCTATTTACTTTCGACGAATTGTTATCATAAATCATATGTGATATTCAATGAAATTCAATACAAATATTATCCTTTATACAATGAAAATCAAATTCAGCATTATATAGTCATTAGAAGGACTTCATATCAGTTTTTACTTATTTCTATCCCGTTCGTCTTGCAATAATATGCAGTGCAAATCCATGCAATGAACAATCTTATAGATGATGAGCAGGAAAAACAACATAAGAAGATGAAAACTTTTGATTTTCTCCAGTGCCTCGAAAATAGATCAAACTTAAACAGATATGTTGTGCACAGACTTTTTTCATTAAGGTTATTATCTCTTATTCCATTTGTTTCGATCTTTTATCATGATATGCAAACAAAATAATAAAAAAAAATACAATGATATTGTCTGATATATTTTTCGATACAAATATTTATTAGTATTTTCATTAAAACATAAGAAAAACTTTATTGATATGCTTGAAAGCATCTGAACATTTTCTGTCGAAAATATTGTCTCATTTCTTGATTAGCAACAAATAATTTAATAATATCAATTAATACTGCTGATTCGGCTATAAACATTAATATTGGTATAACCAATGGAGAGATATTGATTAATCGTTGTAGAACTAAAGTCAAATAGAGAGGACCCCAACTTCCAATAAATATACAAAACATGGAAATCATTTGTCGAAGTAATAAAACATCTCGATGTCTAATTAAGAATATTTGAGGATGATGAACACTGATTTGTGCCGAAAGAGTTTCTGGATGAATGCGACGAGATGAAGATCGAGCATATTTGAATAAAATTATATTTGTAATAAGTGAGATGATTGAAGGAATTACAACAATCATTATAAATGTATATATATGCATCCATATCCAAAAATCACAATACTAAAAATATATTTATAAAATGTAAGAGATATGGTAAAAGGAGATATTTTACTTCGAAGTATCTTCTAGTTTCATACATTCTATTATTTTTCAAGAACGTCGTTTCTTTACAAACGAACTATACTTGCAATGGTTTACAAGAAAATCAGTCTTTGGAGATCTCAAAAACATCTTACTGTGCCGTTTCGTAAAAATCTTTTAAAGGATGTCTAATCGTTCGAAGACGACTATTCAGAGACATTAAAAAATAAATTACCGGTTTCGGTCTGCAGAGAAATGGTATTGAAATTATAAATCCAGCTGTCCATTGACTTAAAATACATATTGTTACCCAACGTTTTCTTTTAAAAAACATCGTTGTATGATAAACTATTGAACATAATCTATAGACAGAGAAGGCAACAAAAGAGAGTGATACTTGAAGTGGACAGACCATGTAGAAATAAATAAGAATAAGACATGATCCTTCAACATATAAGTGTTCAATGTCGAATTGTTCTAAACCGATGTAAATACTAGTGAAGATAGAGCAACATATGCATGCCAAGCATATATTGACTGTGAACATGTTGTTACGTTGATGAAAACGTCGTACAAGAAGAACGGTGAACGAATAGATCAATGCCAAGAATGTTCCCAATCCAAAAATAGCAATTAGTAGACAAGTAACAATATCTACAGCTCCGTCCATAATAATAATCAATTGAATTATGCGATAAGTGAAATCTACTCTTTCAACACTTTTATAAAAGAAAAACAATAATATATTCAGCAGTGAATGATGAAACACAAGTTGAAAGATTAGTAGTTACTTAAACGAGTTATAATATAAATAAAATCTTCAAAATAATCTGAGGATCACAAACAGTATAAGCAAGAGAGATATTGAATTTAAATTATAATCACGATCGAGTGTAGATGATTTTATATAGATGAGAGAAGCAACGTTAGTAGGAAGTGCACAACGCAGAATTTCTAACACTAATTCAGATCAACATCGTATTTTCTCATGATAGATGAAAATTATATAGCAGTCTAAATATTTTTTTCAAATCTATATATATATTTAATATCATTACGCTCTTCTTAGCATCACAAAGATAAAGGAAAATAAAGCATAAATTAGTTACTTGTGAAATATCTTATATGATAGTTAAAAAAAAGTATAGGAGAAAAGGAACGAGACAAGAAAAGACGAGAACAGAATAAAATGAAGAGATACTTTGAATCTCATTTCAGCATTAATAATGATGTAGATCACAAAGTGAAGCCAAGATTATTTATAAATGGTTGCACAATATATGATTGAAAAGAAAAAGATAAAGTGTCTGCTAACGTAAGACTATGGAGTATATGAAATAACTGCATCTTCTATTTTTTTGGTCAACTGATTGACTTACAATCGTGAATATTCTCTTGACAATAAATCAATTACTTTGAAAAAATGGTATTAATATTAAAATATTAAACAATGACAACAGATAGAAAAAAAACTTAATAAAGATTGTTGCAAAATATTATAGAATTAAAAATAAATAGCGAAAAGATTTACTTGTCTTCAAAGATTAATATCAATAATTAACTAAGATATCAACATGAAACTTCTAGAAAGAGAATAATTCATAGTTGAATATTGCATTCAGACATTTATGTTATATTCTACATAAAATCATCAAGGAAATATACGTCTAGAATTAGTGAATTCTTCAAAATGATAGTGTAATAAGAAAGAGTTAGCATAATTATCATTCATCGGTTCACAATTGAAGAAGTCCGGTCGTATTCCGATTGAGAAATAAATAATTATATGAACATAGTTTCTGCTAAATTATCATTAGTTCTTCAATGATACTTCGTTGTTTTTCTGTGTATTATTTTTTTACATTTTATTTTAGAGACCTGTAAGAACTTCGTGAATGCACAAATATAGAATCACACAGAACCGAGGATTTTCAACGAACTCAATACAAAGGGTGTGTGAACGCATATGTTCTGCTTATTTAGTGTAGCCTCAACAAACGCTCAATTCCAAGGGACTGAGAAGAAATGATGAATTTTAAAGGACAATATACGAAAAGAAAGATATATGTGAATGGCATCAAAACACAGACTTTGACGACCAGTATTGCGAGGTTCATGTTTTCTTGATAAATTATTCAAATAAATCTCGACGAGATGGCCGAGCGGTTAAGGCGTTAGACTGCTAATCTAATGGGCTCTGCCCGCGTGAGTTCGAATCTCACTCTCGTCGCCATTCTTTTTTTTTTCTACACTTATACTTAACTTTCGTCGGAAGAAATTGTTTTCAGTGTTTGATATTCTGTCCACATTGTTTTTCTCTTATTTTTTACCTTATATTTGATTGATCATGATAAATTGCTGCTTTCACAAGCGTGGCATCATTCAAATATATAAACGCATCTATTTCTTGCCTAAATTTCTGTAACTACAATTAATAATTAAATGAAGAAGAATCTATTATTTTGAGTTGTTCATTATTGAATATGCAGGGGTGTGCGTATGAAATAAATAGAATGATAACGACACCCTTAAGGAATTGACTATTTTGGCTATCATTGTTTTATCCAGGTACACTTCTCTTTTTTGTGAAGTAACGTAGCTTAATTATAACAGATCTAAATGTTTCCAGAAGCTCTCTATTTCTATCGTTTCTTTATTAAAGAAGAATCGAACTTTCTTTTTCTGTATATATCATAGCAACATGTAAATGAAAGAAGAACAAGGCAAATATTTACTGGATGTATTATTATGCTAAACAAATTAAAACAGGTATGTCCGTATTTCTCAGTTAATGTTTTTTCTTGTGAATGCATTAAAACACTACTGAAGCATATTCATTAATCTTTGAAAAAATAGCTTTTGATATAATTGTTATTTCTCTTTCTATAAAGTTAATAATCGAATCTTTTCTATTATATATACAATATCTATTGTAATCATTTATTATGAAGATCAAAATGTTGTTTTATGGAAATTTTTAATACTATTATTGATACAATCAATTGAGCTAATTGGAAACAAAAATCTTCATTGATTTCGGAAATCGATATATTATTATCAAGTCAAACTCATCTTATACAGATTATCCATATATCCAAGGAAGTATGCGAACTATAAAAAGTTTCCCAGTTTCTGAAAGGAAACTGATATTCGAATTAAAGAAGAAGATTTTTCAGATTATTAATTAAAACGATGCAAATAACAAAACACTTGTTAAATATTAGAAAAACTACATATAATATTTTTGTTTGTTTTATTTGATTAATTGTGAAAGTTTTAAATTAAAGCAATAGCAAAATAGTTCAAGTATAATATTCGATTTCATACAATAAAATAGAGACTCAAAAATGGCAGATAATTCATTTTTCTTTGTTATTACAACATCACTTTTTTTTCGAGCTGTAACTCATAATAATAAAGGTAAAAAAAAAGAAGAGGCGTCATGTTGATATATCCCAGGTCGATGATTCCGAGCGCCGTTTCCGGCGTCGTATAAGGTAGGAAACGGCCGTCAACGAGTATCGTTTCTCGCTGTTTAACACCGTAATTCGTATACCCAGATTTGTATATGTAGTTTTGCCGGAACGGAATCTTTGAAGCCGTATACAATTAAAATACGAACCCTTTTCGATCTGTATCTGGCCGTATGATCTGAAGAGACAATAACGTTCTGTTATCATCTCCCACTCATTCTTTACTTAACTCCTGTCTGTCATTCTAGTGTAACTAAATACTTACCATTTAATTTATCGTTATAGATAATCTAAAAATAAAGAACAAGAATTGAAATAAATAAACATACTTACCGTTCGATTTATCGTTTAGTGTATTAATGAACAATATAAACTGTTTATATAGCTCATAAGAACCATTTTCTGAAGTTAAAACACTTACGTTTATGATTTATTCCAATATGATTTTAATTTTTCATAGATGTCCCTATCTATAATACTGTTTAACTAACTCATTGTTTCGATTGTTATCAATTCATTTTTCATTTTATCGTTGAGCTTTCATATAAAAAGTAAATAGCAACTAATACATTATCTAACATAGTGTATAGACCAATTTATGAAAGCTTTAGAGAGAAAACGGTAGTCCTTACGGCTGCCGTACCCGATGAGACGGAACCGATGATCTCAATGTGATCGTTTTTCGTCGTTTTTTACCGTTTGAGGCCGTTTACGACACCATATTTTTTCACTTGGGTAACTTCAAAAGTTTCTGTTGTTCACTCTCGCTTCTTAACACGTACTGATAAGTCGTATTTTGTCTTTCCTTTCTATTCTCTACGTTATATAATCTCGCTTACACTGCGTGATATATTTTCGTACTTAAAGTTCATAATTATATTATGGATAATTACAATATTAATTCCAAGTTGATGAATGATATACAGAAAAATGGTGATGTTACTGGTAAATTAATTAATGTACCATTATCAACTGGTTTTAATCAACAAAAATGTCAATGTCAACATTCTATTAATGTCGCAAGTGAAAATGTTCTTTTGAACTCAAGTTCGATTAGTCATCAACATGCTTCTACTAGTGGAACTTCGGAAGTGCAATTAGTTATTTCTCCAACACGTCCATCACGTAGGTGTCTTTCTAATGCTTCTAATGATGGTGATTTTCAAGATGTATCTTATAAAAAATCAAAACAGATAAATAATCAAAGTGGTAGTACTATTCGTCCTCAATTATTACATCATCATAATGGTGATGATACAGTTAATGATAATGCGAATATGAATTTAAATGTTAATAATCATGTTACTACTACTTCATCAGTAATTTCAAATAATTTTACAACAGGTCATAATCAACAGCAACAATTATTAACAACAGCTTCAGCTCGTTATGCGTTGACACGTTTTCCTTTTCCACCACACATAGTTCGATTTAAATCTACTAATGTTTCAATTACTCATTCTAAAGCAGAGGTGATCAAGCATTATAAATCTGATCATAATCTTACTATTGAAGTTATTAGTTGTCGAAGGTCCACCATCAAATGCAATAACAATGAAATGGATGTTTTATTATATGTTAAAGATTCAACTTCTTTTGCTGCTTTATTGGATCATTCGAAATGGCCATTGATGATTTGTGGTGAACAGTTTAGTTTTCCTTCTGTTCCTTCTATTCCTCCACAATTGTCTTTGATTATTAAAAATGTTGATATTCATTTAGATTTCGATGAATTTTCTTTGGATCTTAAAAATTTATATCCTAGTATTAAGAATGTTATTCGTATGAAAAATAAATTTAGTAATGATATTAAAATGGTGAAATTAGAATTGACTTGTGCTAAAGCAAGAGATGATTTATTAAATAATAAACTGGTATATGTTAATTATAGTTGTTATGAAATTGAAGAATATATTGCTCCTATGGATGTTTTAATATGCTCAAAATGTTGTTCAATAGGACATTTTCGTCGTCAATGTACTGAACAAGAGGAAACTTGTAAATCATGTGGTCAATCTTTTAAAGATTTAAAAATGCATCATTGTTCATCTATTATTAAATGTAAACATTGCAATGGTGATCATCTATCTAACTCTATAAAATGCCCTGTTATTAAAACCTTTCGTGCTGATCTTACAAAAAAACTGATGAACATCAATAATAATGTTACTTCATATTCTTCGTCTATTGCAGCTAATATAGCTAATAATAACAAGTCTCAACATATTAATAATGATTTTCCTCGTACAGCAGCTCCGTGGGCACCATCCAGTAATCCAATGGATTTAAAATTAAATACTCTTATATCAGGTCTTTCTCAAGTTAATGAAACTTTAAGTAAATTGTGTGTTACAAATCAAGGTTTTCAACAATTTATGATTGAAAAAAATGAAAATGATAAAAGAATTAATAATGAAATTGATGATCTTAAATCTATTAATAATAAAATGGATCAAGATGTAATGGTTTTGAATGAAAAGGTGAATGATTTGGACAAATTGATGAAATCAAATGATGGTATTTTTAAACAATTTTTATTTCCTATGTTAGATGATATTCTAAAATTTATTGATACTAAGAATGTGGGAAGAGGTGGTAAAACTGTTGATCCTGATTTAAAAAGTAAAATTGATCGTTTTCGTAATCAAATGTCCGATGCGATGGGTGGTAAAAGCTTCATATAATGAATCTTTCACCTATTGCTTTACCTTTTTTTAGTTGTTCCTCATTTTTAAATTGTAATAAAAGAGATTTGTTTTTACGTAGAGCTAAGTTGAATCTTTCTCATTTTGATTTCAATATGTTTTGTTTGATTCTCTCAGAGTGGGAAAGTTGTTCTCTTTTATCTTCATGTTTTTCGATTTGGAAAAAATATGTATGTGTTGATTCATCTTCGATTTTTTCTCCTTTAAATATTCTTATGTTCAATGTGCGTGGTTTAGATATACGTTATCAAGAAGTTTTGCTTCTTATTTCATCTTTTAATACTGATGTTATCATACTTTTAGAAACTGGATGCATTGATTTATATGATTATAGACAAATGTTTTGTGACTTTAAAATTTTTCAACAATCTGGTGAAAACAGTAATGGTGGTATTTTGATTTTGGTTCGGAATGGAATTATGGTAAAAAGAGTAGAATGTAAGTTACCTAATGTATGTGTCATTGATGTTGAGTTAGAGGAAGATCTTAGAATAATAGGTGTATATGCGCCTGATAGTCGTTCATGGAGTTGGGAGGATCTATCTCCTTTTGTTAATGATAAAAGTGTTGTATATGGTGATTTCAATGTAGATTTAGAGCAAGATGGTGTTATAGCTGACAATTTGTTGGATTGGGCTGACTCATTGTCTTTATCTCCTTTTGTAACTGATGATCCTACTTCTCTCAGATCAGATAGAAAGATTGATTATGCTTTTTCAAATATGACTGGAATTGATATTCAAACGCATAAAATGAAAACTACTAGTGACCATAGTCCAGTAATTTCAGTTATACCTATGAAATGTAGGAAACAGGTTAACGGTAAATCAATTCATTGGAAAGTTTATAGTTTATTTACAGAATATACATTTCAATTTTGGGAAAAGTGTTGGTGTTTTGAAAATGTTGATGTTTCCTATAATGATTATATTCAATTTCTTAGTCTTCTTACAGCCCGTTGTACAGTAACTTTTCCGTTGAGCAAATATAGAATTACTATTCCACCTTATATACGTTGCTCTATGTCTTATGTACGAGCTCTTTCTTTTCGTCAGAAGAGAACTAAAAGCTTAGATTTAAAACGTGAAGTATGTTACTTACGGAAAATTATTAAAAATGAACTTAAATTCTTTTTATCCTCTCAACTGTCTTATGCTCTGCAACTAAGACATACAAGATCTCCTATATCTGTCTCTTTTTGGTCAAAGGCTAAACGTTTTATTAAACCAACTTCGTCCTCTCTTAATGGTTTTATTGTTTCTTCAGGTGCAATTGTGAATGATTCTATTGGAATGTGTGATATAGCTGCTGACTTTTATGAAGATTTTTTCAGAAGATCTGATAATATAGTTAGACCACATCCTTATGTTGATGCACCATTACTAGATTTTGATAATAAAGATGATCCTATTCCTGAAGTATCTTTAGATGAATTATTACAGGAGGTTGATAGTATAAAAAAAAAGAAATCTCTAGATGCACATGGTTTGAGTAATTATATGTTCAATTTCTTACATTCATCGCATTGGTCATTTCTTCTTCATCTTTATAATCTTTCTTTTTCTTCAGCTGTTCTTCCTGTTGCATGGAAAGATACTAGAATTTTACTTTTAGCTAAAAAAGATTCAATTTGTTCACCTGCATTAACTCGTCCTATATCTTTATTAGATTGTTTTCAAAAAGTTGGTGAAAAATTGTTTCTATCTAGATTTCGTGATGTTCTTTATAGAAGAGGTTTACTTCCTAACAATCAATCGGGGTTCCGTGAAGGATTTAGGTTGCAGACAAGATTGTTGTTATTTTTTGATAATATCTATAGTCTGATGTCTAATAGTTCTCCAACGGTTACGTTATTTGTTGATTTCAAAAGTGCGTTTGATATGTTATGGCATGAAGGTTGTGTTGGGAAATTTCGTAAAATGGGCATTCCACCATCATTTACTAATTGGATCAGAGCTTGGCTTGAGAATAGAAGAGGATTCATTGAAATTAATAGTGTAAAATCTAGATGGTTTGGGATTGAAAAAGGTGGTCCCCAGGGAAGTTCCCTTACTCCTACTGTTTTTATATCATATCATGCTGATATGCCTGCTTTTCTTTCGTGGTCGTCGTCACATCTTTTTGCTGACGACTTGGCAGCTGTTGTTGCTGGTCAGATAGGATTGAAGTTTTCTATTCAATGTATAGATCTTGAGAAAAGACTCAAGTTATTTTGTGATCAATTTGAATACTATTGTATTCTTACACTTCAACCGATAAACTATACTAAAACTGAAGCTTTATGGAGTACACGTGCTCCTTTTTCTCCTCAATTTGATATTATACTTGGTGGTCATACAATTAAGTGGAAAAAAGAGTTTAAATATCTTGGATATTATATTACTCCTAGGTTAGGATGGGGCAGACTAATCCATATGTCTATGTTGAAAATTAGACAACGATTATGTCTCATTAATTCTTTTCGATTTTTTGGTAAAACATCTAGGGTTCTTCGAAGAGCTTTATTTTCTTCTTATGTTTTACCATTGTTTACATGGTTATATCCTGTGTTTCCTCTTCTTACAGATCTTCAACGTGCTCATCTGAGTCATTTTTATTTCACTTGTCTTAAACGTGTTTTATTTTGTCTCGGTTGGAAGGATTTTCTTTTTGCGTATTTGTTTGATGAGTCATCACTTGATGATAGATGTTATCGTTATTGGAATAAATATTTATGTGCTCTAGCTGATTCTATAGATGGTGAAATGCTTTTTGAAAATGCTTCATTGAATAGGTTTCGTCAGTGTTGGGTAGAGAGAGAGTATTCTATTAGATGCTTACATATTTCTAAAAGATTTGTTGATAACATTTCAGTATTGGAAAGATGTATGGATTGGATTTCTTCTAATTCTTCTCTTTCTTCTTTACCTTCATATGATATGGAGGAGGTTCAACTCCTCCGTCTTTTTCCTGAATCGTTTTTTGTATATTAGTTAGTTGTTATCTCTGTCGTTTTTCATTTTTTCATGTGTTTATGTTTTTTTTTCTCTAGTTGTTCTTGTTAGTTTTTATTTTTTCATTCTTTCTATTATTTTATGTACTGTAAGGACCTTCTGGTCGTCAGTTTATGCGCAAATAAAAAAAAAAAAAAAAAAAAAGTTTCTGTTGTTTATTATTTTTTTATATTATATACTTGTTATTACTAATATTTCTTATGAACTTTTTTTTATATTTCGCTTTATTTTATTTTACTTTATAATAAAGAATAAAAATACAGATCAACTTTATCTTTATTTCTTTACCTTTAATCGATACACGAATAAAGAATAAAAGTAGACAGTAATGATACGATTTTTTCTCCACTCTATTTGTGATTTATGCAGCATAATCTTTTTTTTGTAGTTAAATCCACTTGAGTCCATGATTGCAACTGAAAGAATTATTGATTGTAAAATAGAATAGAAGTATGGCGTGCTCGTTTTTGATGATTGTGCTTGCTCGTATCTTAGTTGTAAATGGTTCAACTTGTCCAAATCGACAATCAATAGAAGAGTCTCTCAAGCAAGTACATATTCCCGGAGCTGTAATCATCGTAGTTAATGCTACTCATACGCTCTATGAACAAGCCTTCGGTTACCAGTCCATTTCATCTCAACAGCCTATGGATGTAGAAAAATCGATTTTCGCTCTTAGCTCGATCTCAAAAACATTCATTGCTGTCGCTGTCATGCAACTTGTCGAACAAGAACTCATCGATCTTGATACTGACATCAACGAATACTTAGCAGAGTCTCAGAAACGCATCTATCATCCGTGGTATCCTTCTCATGCAATCACCCTACGCAAATTACTCTCACATTCGGCTTCGATCGATGTTATACCCGACGCACAAAATACTTATTTACAACCGAATGATGATGCATACAGTGAATCGTTGGCTGATGGATGTTTCAGATATTTGAACTCAAATCCATCAAACTGGCTGCCAAAACCACCTGGCAGTGTAACATGGTACGCCAATCTTGGTGCAGCACTAGCTGCATTGATTGTTGAACGAGTAGCAAACATGTCCTATATCGACTACATCGAAGAAAGAATTTTAAAGCCATTAGGTGTGGATATCAGCAAAACCGGTGTACGTCTAGCTGACTTTGAAAATACAGAAGATCTTGTTAAGCATTATGTTTATGCATTCAATGCATCTGATCTCGAACAGTGGCACAAATTCATTCCACATTTGAATATCACACAGATGACGGTAAACTCACTCATATTACTATTAAAGTTATTATCGATTATATTCTCTTTAGCACGGTCTTCCGACGTGGTTATACATTCCACACTTCGGCTTCAGTGTTTATCCTTCTGGCCTCTTACGCATGTCAGCTCGTGCTCTATCTGTGTACCTTCAGATGTTTCTCAGGAATGGATCTTCAATTCTTAGTCCTCGATCCATTGCAGAAATAGAAATAGTGGTTGGCGGCGGTCTCATACCATATTTCAATCAAAATTTGGGTAGTAATTCTACGGGACAGCGTGCACCGTTTCAGTTCGGTCTTAGTTGGTATTGGGATACCTTGAGCGATGGTCGGCGATATTTTGGTCATGGTGGGTCGCTTCCAGGTATAATAAACTTAATGCTGGTTAATGAAAAGCGCCACGTGGGTGTGATTGTTCTTTCGAATGGCGATGCCACTTCAGGAACTAATTTAGCGCAAGAGGTTATTCGTACATTGGAAAATATCCATCGATCGTTTTTTAAATGTTTCGACACTGATGTAGTTCACGCATCTGCTGCTGATACAAAGGGAAATGTCATTGGATTATTTTCCGCTATTTTTATTCTTTATGCTACTTTTGAGTAGTCTAAATAACGATTTTTCTATTCTCTTTTATACAAAACTTATATTTTTCGCAAATTTGAGTGTGATGTAAACTTATTATACCAACCTTACAGACTCTATATTCGATATCGGAGGAGGCACAAGAAAACATGAAGACAAGCATGGATGGGAACACTTATTATAACAATCATGTCGAACAATTAAAAGAGTTAATAGAGTTTTCTTTATATAGATTTTGTAGAACTTTCGATGATCTGACATGAAACAACGATCATCAATATATAGGACTAGGACTAGGGCTTGGTTTGGGCATTATTTGTAGATCTTTTTACGACACGTCGTTTTAAAAAAACTAAGATTATATCATTGAGCTTTACTGGGTTGAAATATATATGAAAAAAACAAAAAGTGTGCAAATTATTTATTTTAAGACTAGCCGTGAACTCTCAATTGGTGATGAGCGCCACCTGGATATTGTCAAAAGTTAATGGTTGATATATGTAAAGAAAGAAAAGATAAGATGTTACGTGTGTATTCATTCTTCTACATTTAAATTCACTAGTAATCATAAGGTGTCCCATTATAAATATTCTATTTCGTTTTTCTTTTTTTGTAAAATATTTTATCGAATATAATGGATAGTTCACATTGTACTGATCCTGGTGCACAACAAACTTATCAATCACAAGGTCACGAAGAATCTATAGCAGAAATAAATACTTATAAAATAGGTCAAGGCAAATCAGCTATTGTTTTATTTACTGATATATTTGGTTATTCATTTATTAATGCTCGAAAATTAGCTGATCGTTTTGCTGAAGAAACTGGCACAACAGTTCTCATTCCTGATCTTTTTCATGGAGATCCTGTAAATCCTAATATACCAAACTATCGAGAATTAATGCCTGATTGGTTAAAAAAACATCCTATTAGTGGTGCATGTGAAATTGCAGATAAATTTCTTTCAACTATCAAAGGACATTATCAATCAATTCAAGTAACAATAAAAAAATTGTTTTTGATACTATAATTAATTATTTTTTAGATAATTGGATTTTGTTATGGAGCTAAGCCGGTAGTTTATTTAATAGCTCATGCCGAATTATCATCAACAATTAAAGCTGCTATAGTAGGACATCCATCAAGACTGGAGAAACAAGAAGCTGAACAAATAAAACGACCAATTCTATTTTTATGTGCTGAAACGGATCAGTCATTTTCACCAGATGTACAAGAACATTTTGAAAAAACGTTAACAGAGAATGGTTTTGGTACATTTTTTAAATATCCAGGTACAGCTCATGGTTTTATTGTTCGACCAGATGGTACTCCACAAGTTAATGAACAAAGTGAAAAAGCTGTTCAAGATGCTATTGAATATTTTAAAAAGAACATTTAATTTTTTTTCTATATTGGTGTTATATTATCAAAATATTTATATAAATTTAAACAGTTCCTCTCGTATAAAAAGTGTTTCAAATCTGCTTCATTCTGAGAAAAAAAAACCAGTTAGATAATATTCCTAAAAAATATTAAATATTTAGAAAAAACTAACAGAATTTCTTCTGTAGAAAATAATCCTCTTTTTCTATCCTAGATAATCTTTCATTTTAAATTTTATTGTTTTGACATGTCTCTATGCCTATAAATAATAGAGAAAAGTAACTCTGGATGAAAATATAAGAAAGAAAGAAACATAGAAAAAATTTTCTTCTTGCAATATTTGGTTTATACCGATACAATAGCCAAAAAATACTTGAGAAATAATAAAAGGAAATTTATTAGTAGAACGATTAATATTGATATTAAATCGAGACATGATAAATATTAATTGTCTTTGAGATTATGTCGAACTTTCATTAATGTAATTCCTAATTGATTTCTTCCTGTTCCATCTCCTCCATCAGCCCAATAAGAATCATTTGTTGTATGTTCAACTATAGTTCGATCACCAGTTGATAATAATAATTCTTTCAGTTTAGGATGTTGTTGAAATTTCGCCAGACATGCTTTAAACATAATCTCATCTTTGACATCATCCCAATCGGGACGTCTCGCAGATTTGTGTGTTCGAACATAAGCAAATGCTTCTCGAGGAGTAGCTAATTGTAATATATTTTGAAAATGTGTTTCATTTGAAATATATTTTTGTGCTTGAAAATAATGTTCAGTTGTTGGCCAAGTATATCCATCTAATTCAATTGGAGAAATATAAAAATTACTAAATTCACCAAATGGTTCATTACGACGATAGAAATAAATAGACGTATCACTCATTTTCTTTCGTTTTTTTTTCAAATGATATGTTTCGTAATGTGTAATACTTTCTTTTTCTTTTTTTCACCACGTGATTCAAAGAAATAAAGTAATAACACATACTGTAATTATGCAACGCGAACAACAAAAACGCGTTCTTTTTCTTTATATGTATATATTTCGTCATAAACATAGTCTTTGAAATAATAATTATATATGCGCATATTATTCAAATAAAAAAAAAATTATTTCATTTTGTCAAACTTTATTCGTTGTGTTAAAGATGTGATGTGTGTCAATTGAATGTTTCTCATTAATTCATATTTATTATGTCGAATAAATATACTATTTCAGCATCGAAAATATTTCTAGGTTTTGTAATGACTATTGAAATCTTGTCTCAAGATTAATTCATATGAATTTAATAATTTATGCATGATATCGTAGTCAATTAAATACATATTTTCAGTCATATACTAATTGATAATATTATAAAATTCTTCTAACATTGTCCCTTAAGACTGCGTAGATTTTATTTTGATTTTCTCGATAGCTTTCAAAAAACAATTACAGAAAAATAGTTGAGAAAAAGTCATTTCAATTGTGTCGTCAGATCTACAAAATTGTTAGAAAATATGATAAAATAATATGAATTTCAATAACTATTTGCTCTTCGTCATATAGGTTAAACAATGGTAAATTTCATATCTTTCTCAGAATGTAGATGCCGCAGTGAAAATATGAATACGACAGGAAAACAATAACCACGCAAATTCTCATCTCTCAAGTTAAAGAGAATCAATTTCAATATGACTTAATCTCAACAAACATATTTTCATTCGTCTTGATCAACTAGTTGTTTATGTTATTGCTAAAGTTCATCCAATAATATAGATCATTGTTGATAATTATATTATGAATTAATATGCATTTCTTTTCACTTCTATCATCGTCGAATTAATTATGAAAGTGAACTTTGAAGCTCATCGTTTATGTTTACAATCAAAGTATTCACCAATCTATATTTACACTCTCGTCTCGTTTATTGCTAAATAATACTTCAGATATTTTGGTTTCTCCTAATTGAACTCTTCCGACACTTTACGCCGTTTTATATAATTGTTTTATTCTATTTTTTATTTAGTTTTCTTGTCTTCATACGCAATGCCGACTATTCTCTTCATAATTAAAATCATATGTATAGAATAAATTCAATAAGAAGTTACATGTAAATTGATACGTTTAGAAGTATCGAGTATCAAACTTTTCGATAATTTAAGTGTATTAACTCAATAGTTTAGTTCAGTTGATGACTATTCCGACATGAATAATTTTATTTTTATCCAAGCGTAAGAAATGCATAGGATTTATCAGTAAAGCACTTGCAGTTATTTTGATGTACAACAACCGTGGATATAAATATTTCTCTAATTATTGTTAAAAATATCCATGTTTATTTTTAAATCAGCTGAACTTGATAATACGCACAGCCACAGACGGTATTTTTAAACAAAATGAATATTCTCTTCATTATTTAACCGACAAAGATCTACATATAAGATACACATCAACGATCTTACACGGACACAGTTATCATTTTATTTTAATTATGTTAAGAGGAAAAAGACAGAGATTTTATTGCAGAAATTAGTTTTCTACTCATTTGATGAAGATTATTCAATAAATTGACAAACTTTCCGAGAGCTCTGAAAATATTTTTACAGTTAAGATGCGCAAATAAATTGTAAAGTTCAATTTTGAATATTAATCAACTTAAGAGACAATTTAACATCTAAATAGTTCAAGAATAATAAACAGAAAAATTTCTATTAATCAGTACTCTTTACATGTTTTCAAAAGATTTGTTTTTTTTATATTAAATTGACATAACATACAACAAATTTTTTGTTTGATGTCAATATTTGTTTCTTTTCTATCTCTTTCGGAGATTTAGTAAAAATAGACAAATGTTCATTTCTTATTAAAAAAGAAAGAAGATATGAAACTTTTCTTTACATAAATCATCGATGCAACACACTTAATGGAAGCTTCATATTTTTTATTTCGTTAAACTATGCCATTAAGTTCTAATGCCATATTTAAGTGTTAAAGCGCGATAATATTTATGACATATTGATAATTTTTTTTTCTTAGCGTAATTAGTTGATCATGTCAAATTCTTTTTGCAGACATCTTCTTTTCGTATTTTGATGAGATATAGACCGAGATTATCTGCTATCAAACTTCATATTCACATTTGTACTTTATAACTGTTTCGTATTGAGATATTTTATATGAAATATACAGCATTTAACTTAATTAGAATTAACTCTTTCAGATATAATATTGTGCTTTACTTAAGATTAACGATAATAAATATCTGATTCGATTCGTCTATTTTCGTTATAATACAAAGAAAGAAAGAATGACAGATGTAGTTGGTCAATCTATTAGTCTGTATGGTTATTGGTCGTCAGTTCCTCTTGGTTTTGTTGGTCACATATGTAGTCTGATTATTTTCTCATCGAAAAATCTTCGTCAATCATCAACTGGATTATTATTTATTTTCTTAACTCTCTCCGATACTTTATATCTTGGAATATCTATTCGTGATTTTCTTACATTCACTATAAAATGGTCAACATTACAAAGTGAATATCTATGTCGATTTCGTACATTTATTGTCAGTTTCTCCACTGTGACATCAGCTTGGCTTCTAGTATTGATAGCACTTGACAGATGGATTCGTGTACATTTTCCTTATCGACAAGCACGAATTTGTACACAAAAAGTAGCTATCTTCTTGATTATTTTCGTATGTGTGTGTTCAACTCTATTTGCGTCACACGTTCTTCAATCTGAATTTTCTTTTACTGCACCAGGTAGCAGTTTATGCGGACCAGCTCGTTCTTCAGGAACATTCTATTCAATCTTTTATTTTAATACTTGGCCTATTCTACAATTATTAATCACTTATATGATTCCAAGTTGTATAATGATTATTTGTTTTGTCGGTGTCTATTCGAAATTGCGTTTTCAACAAACTCTGGTTGTTGCGTCAACAAGAAAAGAAAGAATGCAACGACAAATGCTCATATTAATGGTTTCGAGTATAATATGTTTTATCATTTGTACAATTCCTTATGCTATCTATCGAATTTTTTATCTTCGATCTGCAATAAATTCAATCAGTCCAATTATAACTGGCACAGTGTCAACTTTAATGACTATGAATTATTGTTATAATTTTTATATTCATTGTTTAACATCTCAACTCTTCCGTCAAACATTTATTCAACAATTAAAACGAGTTTTTATCTGGTGTAAAAAAAGACAAATAGGACGAGACAGACGAACTGTTTATCCGCTTCCAACCATAAACAGAAAAGGTGGATTGCCAATAATAAATTAGTTTATGAAGAAACTTTGAAAAAATTCTAAAATATTTTATGCTTTCAAACTATGTACGAACGGCAATTTTTCGAGTGCATACTTATCGTTGTTTGCTAATAAATACAAAGAACATCATTCAGTACAAAAGAGGACTGATCTATTCAAAACTGGATTAGTTTATCTTTCATTCATTCAATGATCATATGAATCTCTCTGTTTTGATCAACGTAGTTTTCATCTCTATAATGTTTTTTCAATTAAAAAACTCCTCCTCAGTGTCTTCAAGTGGCCGAAATTATTTTTATTGTTTATGAAAGTTATATCATATCACAATTTTCGTGGCAATTTTTCGGTGAATTTTCGAATAGGTCATACATTGGATGCCAAAAAATGATTGGTGGTATTATTTTGTTCTGTTAAGGGTCAAAAATGTGGTTCTGTTAGTTGGTAACCCAATAACGAGATTAATAAAATTGTTATGTTAAAAATAAAGAAAGAGTGAAATGAGTATGACAAGAAGAAAATTGTCTGTTGTTATTAATGTAAAATGAGATAATAATGATAATGTGTTTTATTTGAATGTAAATCTACTTTTTGGTTAATTTCAAATGTGTGAAATAAAAATGAAAACGCTTTTGTGTTATATATTGTCAATTGATGACTTTGAAGATTATACCTCTTATGTTTGTTTCAATCTTCACCTATAACTATTTTTTTTCTTTCCTTTCATATACATGTGCTTGATCATATTTTGCCTCTTTCTCTTTCTGTTCTTTGACATCAATATAGAATATAAAAATATATTTTTCGTTTTATTTCTTCATCAAAACAAGCGAATACATATATAGGAAATTTTCGTCATAACTTCATGGCAACACCATTGAATTTGAATCATTTTATCAATGCGAAACCGAGATTATGCATCAAAATCAATACTGATCGATCCTTCATGGCTACTAATGACGATAAATACTTACTCTACTGCCCGAATCAGAGTCTTGCAGTTATAGATATGCAAACAGGACACGAATTGATGAATGTAAAGCGAGATTTTGACGTGTTTGATCTATGTTGGTCATCGTATCTGAAACAATTTCTAATAATGAGTGGACTGGGTGACTACAAACTCTATTCACTAGATATTATTGGTTCAAAAAGTCTTGAACAAGTTATAAAATTTTCACAAACAATGTGGAAATGTACATGTCATAGTGAGAGACTACTTGTAAGTAGTGGTTACGAAGGAGCTATCATTGAAGAGTACAACATGAATAATTTTAAATTGATTCAAACATACAAAACACCAATCTCATGTCAAGAGAATCAAGAAATTGTATCAATTCAATTTAATACTGATGGAACATGCCTTGGTGTTCTTCTTCGATATGGACGAAAAGATGAATATTATGGAGTACCACTTGAATATGATTATTACACCTTTGAATTACGTAATAGTTCGAGCCAGATGAATTTATTGAGTTGTTATACAGATCTACTTAACATGAATTATGACCTTCTTCCATTCGCAGATGGTCAATTTATGGTTTATGCATTTATGGATAATAAATTCTTGTTATTTGATTGCAATGGTAAACTTAAAGAAACAATTCACTGTGATGGAACAAACATAGTTTCAATGACATTGAGCATTAAGAAAAACTCTCTTATGATATTAACACGTTTACCCGATGAACTTCATTTTTATGACATTTAACTTAGTTTTTTCTTCAATACAGTCAATATTTAGAATAAAAACAACAATCCATTGAAATATATGAAGAATATTAAGAGATTTTTTATTAAATAAACTTTTTTCATATCAAAATTAAAAATCTCTCTCATCATTTTATACATAAATATTCAAACGTTCACATTTTTTACATTAAAAATAGTTCGTTTATTTTATTCTTAATAAGAGTATCCGGGTGGGTATGATCAATATAATACATTCTCACAAAAAAATAAAGCAGAAGTTAATAAATATATATGAATGTATAATGAGAAATTATCCATGACTATGATATTCTCTTTTACATAAAAATTAAATCGGCTAAGAGTTCAGCTATTCAAAAAATACATATTTAATATTTTTATAAAAAAGCCATCCGCGGATTACATGTAAAGTTGATTGAACATTAAAAAAAGAATTTAAGTTGATGAGAATGAACAATTGTTGAATGGATCGAAGAAACTAATGAAACATTTTGGAAAAAATAGTTTGTCAATAAAAGATGTGGATTCAAGAAAAACTCATGTCACGATGATGTTGAAAATGACGATGGACGAAATGATGATGCAACTATATATAAAATGGATTATAAGAATGAACAAATTTATTATGCTGACATAGAAACATTTCCAGGGATAATACTACTTCATCCATCTCAACAAATTCAAAATGATATTATGGTAATGATAAATGATAAAGAAAATCCGATTGTCGTTTCCACTGGTAATACAAAAACACAAGAGTACTCTCAACAGAGACACTCAAATTAATAATGATCGATATTCCTTTGTTCTTTTTTCAGTTCACTTTCTTACATCTACAGTTTGTTATTTTATATTTCAAATAAATCAAGACATATTGATAAAGATAGAGTACACCATATTGTAAGAAGAAATTGAATAGAAAAATAATTTTTTCTCTGCCGGGAGAACATATGTAATGTATCATCTGCTTTGCGTTGCTATTGTTTGAATTATTTATTGCATAGGATGATATCTCTTGTTGAAACGACCAAAATAGAAGATTTTCATTTTCCTTGCTGTCACATTACTTGCATCTCTTGATTGTTGTTAAGAGTGTGGATATGACATTTGTATTTAACTCATCCACACTCGTCCTAGATCTTGGTAATTGTTTGTATTGATGAGTGTATCTCAGTTGAAATTGTTCATCGTTCTAGATTTACACATATTGTTCGATCTTTTAGTGTTTCTTACATTAATAGATAATGATTTTCTTTATATCTTATAGTTATTCTATATTATTATTACACATTTCTCTCTTCTTCTTTTGATTTTAAAATATATGTATAATTATATTGTTTTTCTTCTTTTCGCTTCTTTTCATATACATGATTTTGTAAACAAGAGAGATTGTATCGAGACATGACAGAAGAATATTTGGTGAGATATTGCTAGCGATGAATGTTCAAAAGAATGAATATGATATTATTATGCAGAAACACTTACGAGTCAAAGTAATTAAACTTTTCTCATTTTTTTATACTTTATCTCGGTGATAAGATCATCATCACGTTGCAATAACTCGTGACGACATATTTATAATCTTTTTTTCTTTTCTGAAAACGCCTCTTACTAAATTTAATTAAAAAAAACTAGAAGATCGCTAGAAATAAGTGTGCTCTGATTCTAATATCCGTTATTTAATGAAAACACAAAGAAGTATGTATACATAAGTTCAGTCAATTTTTTAATCGTATTTGAACCGATTCGGCAGTACTAATCATGTAACGATTCATTTGATAAACTGTTTTCTCCACTGTGTTACAATATTATATTTAATATATATTGGATCTTTATTGAAAATTAAAATAATTCCATTATGTTTCCCATTCTAGTTCTAAGAAGATTATTCTGTCTTTCTAGTAGATCTTTTCTTCTATGGAGATGAGACTTATTAGTAACGATTGTCGATAAATATCCATAATAGATGCATATGAAAATATTCAATTTGATTATAATCCGATAAAAGAAAATAAGATATTGAAATTTTATTCTTGAAGAAAAAACGTCACTTTGGACTAAATGCTAAAATTAAATTTTGTTCTTTTAATATTATCAAAGTTCAACGTTATTAATAAAGCGTTTGTTTTTCCTGAGGAATATCATTAATGAATAATGAATAAGATCAACGATGCATAGAAAAAAGATATTAAATAATCTTATGAGTTTAGTAAGTAAATAAGACTTAATGAGCGTTAGAATCATTCTAGACATAAGTAGTTCATCGTATTATGCGACAGTCTTTGTAGCTGTGAGGACATTTATTTTTGATAAACACATAAATAAAAGAAAGAAATAAGTAGTCATTTTAATTTATTTCATCTATTTTCTATATAAAATAATAGATTAACAATATTTAACATCTATCAAGAATGAGTAGCTATGCATCAATATTAACACAGATCTTATCTAACATTACATTATATATCGATTATATTACTTTAATTTTTGGTACAATTGGTGGTATTTGTAATTTAATAACATTTACTAGTCGACAGATGCGTCAATCTGCCGCTGTATTTTATTTATTATATGGGACAATCTTTCAATTATTAACTATTTTATATTGTGTTTCAATGCGTTTGTTTTATGATCGATCTGGAAGTAATTTACAAAATGAATCATCTATATTTTGTAAATTACGATATTATTTTGTTGTAACATTACCTGCACTTGCTTCTTATTATATGTTTTTGGCTACTCTTGATCGATGTTTTTGTACATCTATCAATGTTAAAATACGTGCATGGAGTGAAATTAAAATTGCAAAACGATTGTCAATCTGTATGCCAATAGTTGGTTTTATAATTTCAATCCATATATTTATTCTTTATGATATTTATAATAATTTATGTCAAATTAAACCAGGAAGTATTTATACATTTATCTTTACAGGTTATTTAATTGTTATTGTCACATTTTTACCGAATATTCTTATGTTAATATTTTCTCTTATCACTGTATCGGCTGTGAGAAATTCACGACAACGAGTCAATACTACAAATAGAGTCAATAGTATGCCAAATGGACAACGTCCACAACGTTTAGAATTAAAACTTATTAAGGTTAAAGATTTTCTTTTCAATTCATAAGAAAATTAATTTGTGAATTTTTTTTAAACATTTAGATAATTGTTATACAAGTAGTTCTGAGTGTATTACTTTCTCTACTACGCCTTGGTTCCTATAGTTATTATATTATCGCCAATAGTATTTCCAATCCAACAATTAATCAACGTAGTGCAGCAGGATTCGCTATATCACTTGGTGGTTCTTTATATTTTTTTAGTTATGCCATACCTTTTTATGCGTCAATGATTTCAACAAAATATTTTCGTGATATATTTTATCAAAGAATTCTTCTTTTCTATCGTCGTTCTCTTAGACAATTTATCTAAACAAATCTATATTAATTATTCCTATTATTAACTCTTATTCAAGCAAATATTAGAAACAATCATCAATACTTCTAACATTCATATAATATTTTTTCTTTTAAATTAAATAAAACTTTCAATTCACAAAAGGTTTTCTCATTATATCCGATAGTTTATATAAAGTAAAAATCAAATAAAAAAAAGATGTCTGTCAATCAAACATGTGATATATGGATATAATCGGATGTTTGTAAGCACATTCACATTCTATTTATCAATTTTACTAATGATGAAAGATATTTTTCAAGGAAAGGAAAGAAAAGGAAAGCAAGCAAATGATAGGAACAATTTTGATACTTGAACATCTATTTGAAAAATCTATTATTGGGAATTTGAATATATTCTGTCAAGAAGATTTTCCCACTCTTTCCATAAATGAATTTGAACGAAAAATAGAAAAAACATCATTAATGAATCTAATCTAAATAGAGAAACATACAAATATAATAATCAAAGTTCATTAATGAAGTAAATTCACAAATTGTTCACTTAGTGGAAAATCATGAGAAAAAAAAAATATTTTTTTAATATGTATGATATTTCATGTTGTTCATTTTGACTGATCTTATGCGGTGAAGTGAAAAAAAAGTATTTATATACTTTTTAATGCACTTCAAACATTTTCTGTCGGTATGAAATAATCACCGCGTTACACTCTAAGATAAGAATAGCTGGGCTTTGATGAGTTTGATAGATTATATATTCAATATAAAACTTGAATGCAATTACATTAATTAGAAAGAAAAAGATTGCGAGTTGTGTGTTTGAAAGAATATCAGTAGGGATGTCTTCATCGATTGTTTCAGCACTTAATTTTGCTTCGTCAGAAGTAACGATCTATTTAGGCACCCCACTTCTTCTTACTGGTGTTATTGGTGGAATATTCAATATTATTGTTTTTCTTAGTCTACAAACATTTCGACAAAACTCATGTGCATTCTACATGGTAGTAATGTCGTGTGCTAACATTGGTCAATTGATGATGGGTTTACTTTCTCGTCTTGTCATCACTGGCTTCAATGTCGATTGGACAGTTCAATCAGTCTTCTACTGCAAATTTAGAATATTCATGTTGTATATATGTTCACTTATCTCTTTATCATCTATGTGTTTGGTGACAATTGATCAATATATGGCAACTTCTTCTCGTCCTCAGTGGCAACAATGGAGCAATATTAAAATAGCTCGTCGCCTATTAACAGTAGTTGTCACAATTTGGATTCTTCATGCAATTCCAACTTTGATATACTTTGATCATGTTGTATCACCTATTACAGGAGTAATTACGTGTACGAGTACAAGTGCCATTTATCAAGAATACTACACCTATGGTTATGTACTTTCTTTGCTTGGAGTTGTACCTGCTTTTATTACAGTTGTATTCGGATGTTTAGCTTATCAAAATGTGCGACAACTATCACATCGTATATTACCTCTTATTCGACGTCAGTTAGATAAACAATTGACAACAATGGTTCTCTTACAAGTCATCTTCAATTTCTTTGCTCTTGTACCACCTCTGATTACAACGATTCTTTTACTACAAAATAATCTCATTAAAGATCCAGTAATTCTTGCTCAAATACAATTGGCAAACTATACCAGCTTCATTCCTTATTACTTTTACTTTGCGGTAAGTCTCATTCCTTTGTTAAGTAATGTTTTTTTTTCTTATATTTATGTTTAGAGTCCATTTTACATTTATATATGTGTTTCTCAACGATTTCGTCAACAATTTTTTTATGTAATCTTTGGCATTCATCTCAAGCGATTCCGACGACCAAGAATTATTATTAATCAAGTACTACCAGAGACATAACAAGGATTGTTAACCATAATCAAGAATCTATAACTGAAACTCTTCAGTGATTAATTCTTTATAATATAAATTATATTTTATTGTCTCTTCAAAATGATTTATCTATTGAAAAAGTGGAATTTTACAAAAACAAAATATCCATTATTGTGTGTAGTAATGTTTCTCATTTAGTTTTAAACTTTATTTCTATTTTTTTCAATATTATAAATGAGCAAATCAAGTAGAAACGCTTTGAGTATACAAGTATAACAGAAGAAAAGTTGCTATCTTGTATATTATTCTTCTTATGATTATTAGAATATCTATGAGCATTTATAGAATTAGAAGAATTGAAAAGGATTGGAAAAAGACAAAGAAGACGATTTTTCTTGGATATTTCCAAACTCTTACTTTTTAAAGAAAAGAACAGAATTATGGATGAATCATTTTTTACGTAGTTGTATCAAAATAAAAATAAGTTTCTTTTTCACTTAAATTCATTCGTAAAAAATCATCTTTTAAGTTACATTTGTTAGTATAATCATTGAATAATGTTTCTATTTGTTTTCTTTCTTATGTATTCGAAGTTGATTAATCTAAAATATTTATTTCCAATTAAAATTCTAATCAAGTATTACTTTCAAGATTTGAAAATATTTTTTTTTAATTCAAGTCAACTTTTGACATTGAATGAATATCAAATTGAAAGAATTTATTATTTAACTGCATTGGTCTCTACTGGATCTCATTTCGATTCAATTAAAATTTAGGACGGCTGTTATTTACCGTGACACGTCAGTTACGCGCGCGACAGTTGCGCGCCGACACTTGCGCGCAAAAAAAAATTCTTTTCGTTCTGTTTTCGTCTGATTGAATTGGTCATATATATTAAGAGAAATAAAGATGTTCTGTTAGTGAGATTGGTTTATTAAGGAAATATATAGAAGATATCAATATTGCTTTTTGCTTCAAAATGAGATTAAAACTAAAGAAAATAAATGAGATAAAAGTATAAAGAGAAAGTATATATATTTAATAATTTCGAAAATATAAATGTCTCTTATAAATTCAGTCCAAGGCAAAGACCATCGCACAAAATATGAAAAAATTGATCTTCGAATACGAAACATGATCGAAGAATTTCATACTGTTTCTAGGAACGACTATTTTAAAATAGCCAGATCAGTATTTAGTTTTTGAACGAGTATATTCTTTATTTTCAATTATTGTTCACTTAGCGTATTTGTTTGTTTATTGTAAATAAATACTATTTATCTCTGTTAATAATTTCTATCAATAGATTTTTTGAAATTAAAAACAATTTTATCATCTTTTCCTCAATTCACGCGTAAAAGTGTCAGTCAATCGTTATTTACTCGGTAGAACAAATATTTACTGATCTATCTAAAAATTCTAATATTTTGTCTGTTATCACTCTTTTGAATTTTCTTGTTATTGGATTCCATAAAAGTCCGACTTTTGAAGAAATTGATTTGATTTTCTTTTCGAATATGGATTGTAGTCTCACACAAATGTGTATGTTTAATACCGTTGAATTTCTTTTTATAGGAATCTATGAAAAATAAATCTTTTAACACGATTATGAAAGATGTGAACACTTAAAAAATGAAAATAATTAGAAGAAATGATTACATTGAATTTTTCTATATAGGAAAAGTAGACATAATCTTTATATTTCGATTAGAAATAATAAATTTGAAGGATTCGTTAGAATGTGTTTGGAACTAAAATAATTTTTTAATTTATCATTATTTATCATTTGAAAAATTTGATGAGAATATCATCATCTCTTCTTAGCTATTCTTTGGTATACTGTCATTGAATCGAAAATATTTTTTAAAATAGAATAGTATAGGCATAAAAGAAGAAAGAAGAAAATAGAACACATGTAGTATTTCTATGATGTAACTTTCTTTTTTTTTTCTTTCCTTCTCTTTCAATTTTTGTTTGTGCCAATCTCTTCTTATTTCATATAACATAATTGTGACTATGTCCTTCGATCTCTTGAATCTCTCGAAAAAAAAGTCTTGATACTAATATAAGAGAAAAAACAAATATATTTCTATTATACATAATGAATTGTCAATATAAACATGAACATTCTCTCGAACAACGTCGATTTGAATCTGAACGTATTCGAAGACGTTATCCTGATCGTATTCCTGTTATTGTTCAACCATCACAATCATCATCATCTTCATCATCACTTTTATCAACATCATTATTTCGTTCATTTTCATCCTCATCATCATCATCTTCATCATTATGTAATGAAATAATATTATCACGTCTTGAAAATGAGAAATTTCTTGTTCCATCTGAATTATCCTTTGGTCAATTTGCTTATAATATTCGACGACGTTTACGTTTACGATCAGAACAAGCATTATTTTTTTATATTGGTTCAGATGGTAAACAACCAATATTAAGTTCAACTATTGCAGTATTATATCATCAAAATAAAGATATCGATGGATTTCTATATGTTTTTTATGCTGATGAAAAAGTTTTTGGATAAAATATTTTTATATTCATTTTTTTAATAAAACATTCTAATCATTTCATTTTTGTATACATCAGAAAATAATAGAAGCGAAATATACATCATAATGCAAAACATTTTCTTACAAATTTCAATTGATTTTTAGAGAATATTTTAATACATAGAAAAAGAATAACATCAAACTATTAATAAGAGATATATTATTAAAGTATATTGAACTATTGAATCCTTTCTTCATCGATGAATCAATGATTATATAGAAATTGTCTCTTTTGAAAAAAAAATATATATTTTTCTTCTTAAGTCATGCAGAGCTCATTCAAAAAAAAAGAAGGACAGAAAAAAAATCGAATTCTTTTCAATGAAAAAAAAACGATTTGTAATTCCATTCATTTGAAACTCACTCAAAAATAAAATTCAATTGATTTCTATTGAAAAAATCATTTCTAATTCCATTCATCTAAAACTCACTTGAAAAAACAAATTCAATTCTTTCTAGAACAAGAAAAAATCATTTGAAACTCTAATCATGCAAAATTTCTATTATATACATACATTACAAATCGAAAATAAACTATCCTCAATATTCACATACAAATCAATTCTTTAGGAAAAAAATCTAATAAAATTAATTGATTATTTAGATTAATACAAGAATAAATAAAGAAAATTTACATTTTTTATTTCTAACTCCTTCTTTTTCCTTCAACAACACTTGATTTTCATATCTATTCACAAATATCGAATAAATATTTTTTCTCGAAAAAGAAATCCAAACTTTAGTCCGGTATATTTTGTGAGATTATTTATTGATTAAGATTTCATCATTTTTTATGTCAAATCAAGGATAAATAACTCGAAATATTATACATGACGTCTTCACTCAATATACGATTTTGATGAAATTTCTTTCAACTTTCCATTTCATATCATTATGACATGTGAGAAAAAGAATTATTTAACTGGATAAAAATAAAAATACCTTTAGACTTACAATGTATATTTATCTATAGAACGAAATAAATTAATTGAGACAACGAAAGAAAAAAATAATTTTGTTTATTTTCATCAAATCATATTAATACACACATGTACATTTTCTTTTATGAAAATTAATCTCTTCATATGAAGTTTATTTTAAAAATCAATTCTTATTTGTACATAGAAGAGAATAGTTTTTTTTCTTTAAAAAATTTAAAAGAATCCTCCACCAAAACCACCACCACCATAACCACCTCCACCATATCCTCCTCCATAACCTCCTCCTCCTCCTCCTCCGAATCCATTATCATAACCATATCCATAAGTTGATCCAAGTCCTCCACCGAAATTTCTGTTGATATCATTATTAAGCCATTGATCAACCCCCGTTTGAAAAACACCTAAAATTAACTAAGATATTTGTATTGTTATTTAAAACTTAATAAGTTTACCATTGCCAGGAATAAAATTATTTACAAATCGATCAGCTGCATTGTCAATAAATGCATCAGCTATATTTGCACCAAAACCAGCCATGACTTATTTTCTTTCTTTCTTTATGTTAAAATACAAAGGTAATTTGAATGTTTTTATAGACAAAATTTTGTTTAATCATGTATGTCCATATAATAATAATAATATTATTATTATTCATCATAATATGGGCGTAGAAAAGAAAACGCCTTTTTCATTTCTACACCTTTATCATTCTACACATGAATGAATAAGCGATCTATTCGATATCTTTTCGTTTAAATATGATTTAATAATGAAATACAAACAAAGATTTTCTTCAATATTTAAATAGATTAAATAAAATTCATTTGATTTCGAAGACAAAAGTAAATTGTCGAAAGTTGCAAAGATTAATTTCAATTCTATCTTCGTCAATGATTAAAGTTGTCGTAAAAATATTCTTTTCGATAAAATTCTATGAAATATTTAACAATTGATGAAGAATATTTCTCTATTGTTTCTTTGATGAAAACAAAATGAAAGTTATATCTAAACACGTGTTTTATGCAGATTTATTCAAGATATCAAACGGTTTTTTTTGCGTTCTTTATTTTTATATAAATGATAGAAATCGATAGATGAGGATATGTGTATTCGGTTGAATACCCTCAATCATATCCATCAAACAGAATACACAAAGTTTAAATAAAGTTTTTTTAATTCTTCTAATAAGATATACGAATTATTAATTATCTTTATCTGATTAATTTCTCTATCAAATTGAAATTGAACGCATCTTGTAGACCTTGATGAATTATGTTTACCATAAAAAAAAAGTTCGCGTACTTTGCGTGTCTATGAAAAAGAATAATGGATTGAATAAGTTAACAAAATATAAATGTACTAGAAGATGTGAGATTAAGATAAACAGAACACTCACACTCATCTATCCACAATTATAAATCAAAAGATTGTGGAACAAAATTATTCATGTATATTAAATATCTCAATGGATATCAATGATATTCTAATCATTGGTGACGAATAAAATATTTTTTAAATTTCGAATAATTTCATCATTAGAATACAGAGAAATCAGAGTAATTAATAGAAAAATAAAATTGTGATATAAAGGAAAATTCTAATGATTAAATTTCTTCGAAACATGATATTTAACTTGTAACTATGTTTTGCTAGAGTTTTATCTAATAGAAAAATATTTTAAATCTATTCAAATTTCTGTATAAATACAAAATTTTTAAATTGACAAATCTTTATCTTTGAATAGGTAAATAATCATCATATGAGAAAATTTTTCCTAGAAATAATACAACTATAATTCTTCTATTAGTTCAACATGTCGGATGTGTACATAGAAATGAGGAAGAACAATAATTTAATTCATAGATTGATATTTAATTCTCTTTGAATCATATATTTAAATATTATTTCTCATTGATAAAAATAACAAAAAGTAAATAATGAAATGACATTAGTTAGAAGAATATTAGTTCGATATTTGTTTAGTCAATAATATATGTGTATAGTTGATTGAATTTTGTTGTTTTATCAATGATAAATTACCTAATATAACTATCTATTTCGAATATCTGATAACATATCAATCGTGAACATCTATAATAATCTTGAAAGTGTGGATTCATGTTTTCTTCATCAAAACTCCCCATCTGATGTTTTTAAGATCTACGATTTACTGACTGTTTCAGTGAAAAAAAGACAATATAAGAGAAAAGTTTTCTCAATTTTGAATTTATAAAAAATAATTTTTATATTTTAGAGTTTGTTTTTTAAGCTAATGAACTGTACGACCGAAACAACTATTTCAAAGGTTCCATTATCGTTTTTGGTATAAGCAAAAAATAGACATTAGACGTCAAATGGGTGACGAAGAGTGATGAAAACTATCATTGCAATTAATTTTGTATAGGATGAGTTTGTTTTTGACATAACTGCGTGCTCATGTCATTCACATCGAAATATGATAGAAAAGAGAAGAACAAGCCAGTGGATGTGATAGTTTTAAAAATAATTAATTAATTATTTAAAAAAAAGTAAGACGTAAAAGATGATTTAATATTTATTTGATCTTAGATAAAGAAATTGAAAGTGCGAGATGTCTAGTATTGTTCAAATAGCTATAGAACTATCTTTTTGGAGTCCAGTTGTACTCTTTTCTATTGGAATTCCATCAGCGTTTTTCAATACAATTATTTTTGTGGGAATAAAAACATTTCGACAATCTCCTAGTGTTTATTATGTTATTGGTCAATCATTATCTGATCTAATTGTTTTATTAATTTTACTTATTGAAAATATCTCATCAATATCCGTATCTACTTCTTCAATGACATGTAAATTAATGCTCTTTTTTAGTCAATTAACAGTACCTTGTGCAATGAGTTTTCTTTGTCTATCAGCATTTGATCGTTGGGCATGTACTTCTCGATCAGCTCGAATACGTCAGTTAAGTTCAAATAATGTAGCTCGTCGACTCTTTCCAATTCCTTTTCTTTTTTGGTCATTGATTGATATTCCTTATCTAATTTTTTGTGATTTAATTCCACCTACATTCGATTGTTATTTCACAAATGATATTTTTGGTGAAATTGCTATTTATTTTCTTGCTCCTATTTTCTCTGTTCTTCTTCCTCTGTTCGTTTTAATAACATTTAGTATTCTCACATATCGAAATATTCATCATCATCTTATTCGAAATCATTTATCAATGTGGGAACAACAAATGACAAGAATGATAATTATTCAAACTCTTTTAAGTATTTTCTGTACACTTCCTCAATTTATTTTTGTTATTTATTCAATAGTCACACTTAACAAACGTGCAATGAGAAGTTTTTATCAAATTTCCATTGAATTATTAATTAATCAATGTACTATTTTTATTATGGGTATTAATTTCATTTCTTCATTTTACATTTTTTTTCTCTTTTCACCACGTCTTCGATTAACAACCAAAAAATATATGAAAAATCTATGGAATTTAAAAAATAATCAAATTATTCCAGTGAATATTACTCAGATAGTACGAAGAAAAACAGCAATCCAAACTCATCAAAGATAATATTAACTCGTCTATGTAAACTAATCAAGTAAATTCAGCTTTGAAAGGAATATTCAACTACAAAATCGGATTTTCACAACTTTTTTTTAAATAAAAATATAATGTTAATTTACTTCGTTATTTTTTCTTTTTTGTATCATTTTAAGTTAAGTCTTGTATAAATCTAGTCATATTGTTAAAAGCGTTATGTCATTTTCTACCGATAGAAAAATACTTCGAATTTGAAAAGGTCTCTCACCACGCTATAATATATTCTCGTCACCAAAAAATTCCATAATAAAAACAAAAAAACTCTATAATGTTGTTTTTATATTAATTACTACAAGAATTAGAGACTGCCTTATGTTCTAATTATCCTAGAAAAATGAGCAGCTTTAGTTAAAATCTTCAGTTTCTATAAAAGAATTTACGATCTTGTAACGCTGTGACACAGTTTTCGCGTAGTTTAATATCATATTTTTATTTAAACGTTCGGAAAAAAAACATTCTTACATCTTCTATTATTATTCATAGATTTAAGTGACTCGGTCGATTTAAAAAAATACTATAATAAAGTATTAAAGTTCAAAACAACGCATTTCAACGCTTTATCTAAAGAAAAACAAAATTGAAATAGATACATTAAGATTGTGAGTATGAGTGTCATATATATCACAAGGCAATATCCATCCAACCATAGCTATCGATCCATGCCGGTTTTTATTACTTTAGGATCCCTACAAACAATACAGATTGATAATGATCAAAAAGAAGAATTTAAAAATGAAATTATAGTTTTTTTATCTACACAAAGTACAAACATAATTCAATCGTTGATTAAATATCCTATCAAAATCTGTTGTCTACTAGTAGTGAAATACTTCCAAGAAAAGACATTACAATATGTATTTGACACCAATGATATGTTTATTATTGAAAACAATGCACAAAAGAAGCAAAATAATACCAGTTTTGTATAAGATCAAGGAGAAAATTCAACATAAAATCGAATTAAGTCGAGAAAAGTATAACAAATATAAAAGAGTCAAGAAGCAAAGACAAACAAGACAGTGATTGTGATATGCAGAAGGATTAAATCCCTGCAAAGTAATTTTGTTAAATAAATTGTTGAATATTTATAAATATCAAATATTTGTCATTACATTCAGTTTTTCCATCTGTGTGCAGTGATTATTGACGTTATCCTCATTATCATCATTGTTCACAAAGGGAACACGTTCATAACTAACAGAATCGATTGCTTGCAAGTTACGCTTTGACATATAATAGGCGGGCAAAGCAAATAAAATCAGAACACACATTCCAATGGCCATATGAAGAACAAAATAATAAGCGATTAACATCGAATTTCTATGTTCATCAGGATCTTTTGTATCTTCATAATGAGCATGAAATGGACTGTAGAGAAAGAAACCGACTGTATAGAACCAGGAACCTTGTAAAAATGTGCAGTAAGCTCGCATCAATGTAGCATAAATCTGCTTTTCACGTTGAATTATTTCAAAAGTACCACAGATAATTGAAGCACAAATGGCAAGCGCAAGAAAAACGTGAAGTTGAACTTCGATCGGAGATCGACCATGACCATGAAAGTAGAATGATATTGCTTCTGCAGCAAAGGCTACGTTAACGGCGACAATACTCAAATGTTCCGGAATGGGAACTCGACAATGAATAAGAAGATCAATAATACCAACAAGAAAAAACATCATATACGTAGCAATATGTTGATAACTATTTGCACCCATATAGAATGATATGTGACCATCTCTATGATGGAATCCGATACTTAATTCAGTTGCAATACCAAAACCTGTGCTAATGATAATAAAAAGAGCTTCTATCGGTAATGCAGCCACTCGTCGTCCGCAACATTGCAGTGGAAAAGTCAGAGAAACGTGGTAAGATTGTTTACGTTGTCGGCAGACGAAATAACGTAACCATGCTGAATAAGTCCACCAGAAACTTAATATGAGAAAAATAGTACCTGGAATGAGATGTCCTGCAAAAGTTCCCATCTTATCAAAATAGAAATGCCGTAAAAATTGATGTGTTCACTCTTATAAACGCTAATAAAATATACTAACTTTCACTTTTACTTTGAATACACAGTACGGGAAGAAAAAAAAAGAAAAAAAAAGAAATAATATTGTCGTTACTCAGCGCAACTCAAACAATGTCGTCCTATTCAACCATCATACCGATGTACGAACGAGTAAAAAGTTACGTATTCTACCGTCTATTTTTTAGACATTACTTTTTATGGGACTAAATTTTGATTCACAAGTATACAAATAAAGAAGAACAGAAAGAAAGAAAAGAAATGTATAAGAGGAAATAAAGAACCACGAGAAAATGATAGAAACCTAATAATGAGTATATTTATATATATATATATACCATATAATCATTTAAATTAAAGAGAAGACATATTTATAGAATATATAATTATCAAGATTCATATGTACAGCTCGAAAAAATATATTACGTTGAAAGTTAGTGACATCTGCTGTTTTCTTAATAGAAAATGCATTAGTAATAATTTACTTGAAAACCAAGGAAAATCATGACGAGAGAGAAGGATGTGAGTGTGAGATAAAGGGCATATCAACATTCACATTCACATCAATTATCTATGCCATTGCTGTTATTTTGATGGAAGATGATAATAATATCGACAAGAAATCCATTCATATCATCAAATCAATCAATCTGTGAATATCTATCTATTAAATCCGAAAAATTATATTATTCATGTTGATGCATTAGCGCTGTTGTTATTTTTTCAATTTGTCGAACTTGCAATCGTGATCATTGTACTCTCAATCTATATTCCAAATGATTATTATTAAGATTAATAGTCGTTATTATTTAACTGTGTTTCAAAATTTCAAATCAATATCGATTAGTCTTGCTCAACGATGAGTTCTACATATGTGAGTGTAGACAGAGGAATATTATAGTAAATGTTTTCTATCAGATCATAAAATGACTTTTTATCTATCAAGATAATATGTACTGTGAGAACGATGAAACATGTTTACATGATCAACTCATGTATATATCAATTATTTCTTCAATCATCGATCTTAGTTTTATGCTAAAGACATTGGTTTGACTTTATAGAATTTATTACGTTATGAAATTCGGTATAATAACACATAAAATCAATAGTGGAAAGCTTGAATAAATAGAAAAATGCTTTTTGTTCTTCTGTTATTTTTAATTAATACTTTCATGAAAAACGAAGTAAGCATATTTACAGGTGGCAGAGAAAAGCAAATAGTTCATTCCAGTTCAATACCATTATCAGATAAAATTGTATTGTCTGGATGAATTTGATTCTTCTTGCAATATAACCAAGTTTTCATTGGTCGCCAATATTTTTTCTTTAGAACATATTTTACTTGACGGCGATACCGTGATGATGATATCAAAAATAGATAAAAATTGACCTAAAATAAATAAAAGATATCCTAGTAGAAATAAACTAAAAAAGAAAAGAAAAGAAAGGTTTACTGCAATAGTGACACCACTAATTGAATAAAAAATAGTTTGAATCAATCGTTCGATTGCAGATCTGAGTAAATCTATCTGTTGTGTATTGATATTAATTGAATAGACACGATAAATTGTATAAGGTAATGAGAGAATAACATATAACATAACACGAATTAAAACCATTGCAGTTATTTGTTGATCAAACTGACGACGTTCAAGTGGAATTTGTCGACGTATAACACGACGAACATTTTCATAAGCTAATAAACTGAATAATGAAGCAAATACAATTGGAAAGAAACCTGATACAACTGGATAAAAGAAATATGTGATATATCGAATCCATATTGGATTTATTACAATACATCCTAATAAGGGATTAATACTAAGAAAAAAGCTAAATAAAATACTATGGAGACACGAAATCAATATAAATATAAATACAAGATATTGAGCTAATTTAATTGTACATATTTCTCTTAAATTTATTCGATAATTTGTTGAACAAAATTGATCACAAGCAGCAAAACAGATCATAGAAAATGTCACCAGTCCAGTTGATTGAAAAAGAATATATCGGGCTTTACACCAGAATAGAGAGAAATTCGTTGCATTATTACCATAGATTACTGACACAAAAGTTACTATGAGAGTAAAAACTTCATTAATAAAATTCGATATCGATTCAACTAAGAAATAGAGAACACATCGATTCTCTCGAAATTGTTTTAATCGAATAAATACTAATACATTCAAAATATTACTCACAAGTCCAACAATACTTAGAATACAACTACTATATACTGAATATTCTGAAGCAAATTCAAGAATTTGTGATGATAACAATGTTGATGCCATGATAAATAGATATATATCAATGCAAATCAAATCGTCTTCTTAATATTTCATTTCTCTTTTCTCTTTTTCCTGAATGATTAATACTTGAAAATTAAAATGTCAAAAGCAAAAACCGACAGAAAAATACAAATCTCTGTGGAAGATTAATCAACTGACAGAAACAGTCAATCTATCAAATCAGTAAAATTCAATCTTTTTTTCAACATATAAACTTGTTGACTCGCGAGATAGGATTCTGATAATAATGTATGAATGTGGTACCACATCATCAGAAATCTCATAAATAGAGACATTAAAGAATTATCGGATCTCAAAGAATTTTATCATATCGAATTTCATCAATTGAATCGTAATTACTACAAATTTTATTAGGATTCATTTAAACAGTTATGATCTTATTAAATGTAACAAATCCTTGTGTGATTCGATTTCTTGAACGCCATATTATTACATTAGATTTCAATAGAATATCTGGTTACCTTAGAATTGTAAGAACATGTTTCTTCTACTGCATACACTGAAAATTTCGGGATCAGACCAATGTGTACTGATATTTACTTTTTTGATGAAATTAGATAATGTATTGATATACTTACTATAAAACACTTGCAAAGTTCTTCATCAAGAAAAGCTATAAAGCCTGTTATACGAAAATAAACGAGATTTATACAAATGATCTCACTGATACAAATATGTGGTTGAAGAATGAATATCTTCATATGCCACATTGATGCCATGTTTCATACAATAAAAATTATAATTTTTTCTTATGTATGTGTTTTATTTATTGAGTTTATCGATAATTTTTGTAAGCATTGGTTCAAAACGATTGTTAGCATCTGATATTGTTCCTTCCATTCGATTCATGACATAAGCAAAGGAAAGATTATAGAATGGTGCAGCCAAACCAACACTTCCACCTGTTCCTATAATAACATAAAATTATAGAATATCTATAAAAAGAAATCTCATTATTTAATTTACCTAAATGACCAAAACTTCCTCGTCCTAATCTAGGAAATGTTTTATCGAAAAGCATAAAACCCATACCAAATGGTGTATGTGTTTGCGAAAATAGATCCAATTCTCCATCTGGTGTATTTGATTTTGTTGCTAATTTCATAATCTGTTCATTTAATATTCGTTTATACTTTCCATGATCAACATCGCCAATTAATAATGAATATAATCGTGCTATTGAGTAAGCATTTGAAATTCCATTTCCAGCTGGTATTTCTGCTTCATGTGAAGAAATATCATTAAAGAAATTCATCATAGCATTGAGTGATTCATCATTGAAATGTTGAGATAGTTGACTGAATTCATGTGGTGATACACGATATTCTTCTGTTGATGGTAAACCAATATAAAATTCCAAATTTAATGGAGATGAAATTTCATCTTGAATAAATTTTCCCAATGATCGTTTTCTTGGATCAACACGTCGAATAAGTTCACCAGCAAGCCAACCGTACGTAAGTGAATGATAACTATAAGCGGATCCTGGTAACCACGATGGTGATTCTTCTTCTAATTTATGTATCATTGTTGTCCAATTAAGATAATCATCAAATGAAGCAGCAATATTTGGTAGTCCAGCACGATGTGAAAGAATATCACTCACTCTTGTATTTTCTTTTCCATATTGTCCATATTCAGGCCAATAACGAGTAACTAGTGACGAATAATCGAGAAGATTACGTTGAACAGCAATTGCTGCAGCTACAGCTACAAGTCCTTTTGTTGTTGAAAAGACTAATTGTAATGTATTATTATCATACACTTTTGTTCGTGATTCATCAAACCATCCACCTGATAGATCAACGACTAATTTACCTTGATGATACACCGCGACTGATGCTCCTAAATCTCGATTTTCAACAAAATTACTTTGAAACAGATCATAGATAAACTCCCAGCCAGGTTCAATTGTTCCACGAATATTATAATCAATAATTTCACTAGAACTTACCACTAATGAAGCAAGAATAAAGATAATAAAATGTATTGTTTGATAATAACTCATCTTTTAACTTTATTTTGAAAGAACAAAGAAAGCAAATAGTTGATATTTATATACACTGTATATGATAGGATTGAGTAAATATCAATATATAAAGTAGCACACAAATAATAATAATATGTATGTTAAGACCAAAAGGATTAAAGTAAAGTGATATCTTATTACTTTGTAAGGTAATGATATCTATCTATTCTTCATACCATTTTCGGGCATTGATATCAATACACATGAATGTGATATTTAGAGTGTGGGTGTAAATGAGATTAGGTTAGAAGAAATATCCATACCCTTCTCATTTCTGAATCCATTAGATAAGATTAATTCGGTGAAGTTAACGATCTATTATTTAAATATTTCGATTTCTTTCAGTATCAGTTCAAAAGCTTCAATATTTTCAATTAATATCTCATCGTTTGAATACGCAATCATCTTCGATTCATTTCATATCTTTTGAAAAAGAAGAAAAATAAGTATCGTCACAAACTCAATAGAGTAATTCTGATATTTTATTGTAGAATTGAAGAAAACAAAATGAATATTTTTAATTTTAATTATGATTTTCTTGAAAATATTTAAATCCATATATGTAAATAATTATTTAATTTCCGATCTTGACTAATGTAAGATGTTGATGCTAATTGAGTTTTTAACCATTGAATAATTTCATTTGAATTTGAATTTGATGTATATTCATTATATTGAATATGTAATGCTTGAAGATTGGTCATATTTTGAATAAGAACAAGAATAGAATGACGTGTTGTTACTGAAATAGTAAGGATTTTACATGGAATACCTAATGATGATTGACACAAATTTATACATTCTTCTTCATTAAATACTTCATTTAAACATCGAAAATCAAGTTCATCAATAGATTTATTCATAAATTTACCAAATGATAATGATGCTCCGTCTTGATCAATAGATAAAAATTCAAGATCCGATGCTTGATTAAGTAATCGTTGTAATTGATATTGATATTCTTTAGTAAATGATTTTATGTGAAGTCTTCGAAGTTTTTTCAAACTTGAAACAATCAACCAGAATTGATCATTTAGAGGAAATTTAATATGTAATGTATTAAGATTATGTAAACGAATATAAGATGGAAATGATTAATTGAAAAATGTTTCAACCGAAATATGAGTGATACTATTATAGAATATTTTATGATCATCATTTGGATCAGTTGATCTCCATATATGTGGAAAACTATCTTCCATGTAAAAAAATTGTTTCGATAATGTTTCTAGATGAAGTTTTTTATGAAGTGTATAACAACGAACAAACCAACGACGTTCTTTAATCCAAAATGAACTTCGAAATGAATTGATTAATTCATCAGCTCGTTCTTCAATATTATCATTGACAGGAAGATCATCGGACATTCTCAATTTGAAGGTCTTCAATTTTGGTAAATAATTACATATAAGATGTTCCCATCGATCACCAGTAATTAAATAACAAGACACAGTCATTTGTAGATAACATAAATTAGGAAGATATTCGAATAAACTCATGAATATTGACGAATGAAAGGTTATCATTCGTAATTTAGTTAATGTTAAAAGATGCTCGAAGATGTTTGAGAGATGGAGCACATTCGTATAATTGAAATATTTTATTATATTGAATTTGTTGACCAAATAAATAAAAATTTTTTAGAGTTGAACAAACTTTTGTTGGTAATAAAAAACTCGATAGATTTCTAATATAAATTGTATATCGACAATGAATAAGTTTCGGTAAACTCCAAATATTATCAATAATCATTTGAAAATCTATTTCATCATTTTCATAACAACGAAATGAAATATTTAAATATGTTACATTTGAAAGAGAAGAAAATTCATTAACGAGCTTGATTAAAGTTTCACGTGAATGGATGTTTAACAATGTTAAATACCGTAAATTAGTTAATAATGATAATGATGAAATATAAGATAAGAAATGATCGATTTGTCCAGTAGTTGATGAATCGTCTGAAAGTTTTAATGTAATTATTCGATCAGTAAGAAATGGTAAATGTTGCTGACATACATCATCAAAAATACGTTTTGAAAGAGATAAACAATTCAAACGATATCTTCGAAATTGTTTATAAAGAAGAAGATTAAAACGTGTATTTAAATCAGAAAATATTTTCAGTAAATCAATCGAACGAAAATAATCGAACAGAGTCAATATAATCTCGTTTGGTAACAATTCAAAATTCATTATTTATCTTTCTTTTAAGATAAAGAAACTATATATATATATATGATTACTTAACAAAGCATAGAGAACGACCAATAAATATGCTATAGACAATTTGCCTAGTCAGAGAATATTCAGGCGATAGCTCTGAACTCAATGCATTAAATTTATATAATTATAATTTCTTGAGGGTATAGGTGTGGGTGTGAAAGAGAAGATAGAAACATCCACATCCTCAAGATTGAGCTGTAGCGTAAATTAATATTTCGATTTTTTAATAAAGAATCCAACAGCTTGTCAAATCATTTGAGTTTGAGTAAAATTGTCATTTAAAACCTACTTAGCAGTTAATTTCTTCATACGACCATAATTCAATGAATTCCATAAATGAGCCGCATAATTCGATAAAAAATAGTATGTATGTGATTGAAACAACTCTTTTAATTCATTATAACTAGGAAGGGTGGGTGTAGGCTACGAATAAGAGACTAATTATTATGGTATAAGATATATTTTGTCATAAAGACTGTTGATTCTCTTTCATTTTCTCACGTACTACTGATATCGTTGAGTATTTAAGGAGTGAATATTGTGAAAAGAAGAGGAATAAAGAACAAAAGAGGAGCGATAATACTACTCACACCCATCTAAGAAAAGAAAAGAAAAGAACATGTGCATAGAAGTACATGGAGACACACATTAACTTATTTGTTTTTCATTTTAACAAATTTAAAGTATTCACAGCTTTTCATCAATGATTTGGTGTGAGTGTTCTCCCTCTTCGTAACCCACACCGCAAAACCTTGTGCATGAAATAAAATTAAACGTTGTGATTATCGTTGTATTTTATTTTATCTGTTCTGTCAATGATCCCTTTTGTGTAAATCTTTGAATAAAGAATAAGAAAAAGAAGAAAAAGACAATTTCTATAGACATAAACAGTAATATTTAATCTTTTTGCAAACAATCATTGGATTAACCTTCTGATGATATATATGGATGATTTTATTTTTATTTTCATTGTAGATATTTAATTGAATTTCAAATGGCTAAACAAGTTGAAAAAGAAAAAGAAAAAGATTCTGATATGAATGTATTGCAAGAGTTGGGATATACTCAAGAACTTTATCGTGGTTTTTCTCCATTTATGTCTTTTGCATTTTGTTTTACAACTGTTAATGTTTTAACATCAATTTCAATTGGGTTTACTCATGCATTAAATACTGGTGGATCAGGTATTATTATTTGGTCTTGGATTCTTGGATCAATTTTTACAATTCTTACTGGTCTTTCATTAGCTGAAATTTGTTCTGTTTATCCAAGTGCTGGTTCAGTTTATTATTGGTATAAACATATTTATTCTTTTAATAATATTCTTATATAATTTCTTCTTTTTTAATAAAGGGCTGGTCAACTTGTATCTCCTCGTCATGGTCCATTAGCTTCATTTATTTGTGGTTGGTTTAATTTTGTTGGTAATGTTGCTGGTAAGTATAATCATTTTAACTGATCATTTGTTTATTAATTGTGTGAATAATAAATAGGTGATGCAGCATTTTCATCAGGTTTTGCAACAATAATCAATGCTGCATTTCTCGTAGATGGTAAACCATCATTAAGTGTTGGTGTTCAAGTAGCGATAAGTGTTGGAATAACATTTATATGGGCTATTCAAAATGCACTTCGAATTGATCAACAAGGATGGTTGAATAATTTAGCTACATTTGTACAAATTGGTTCAACAATAAGTATTGTTTTTGTTCTTTTTATAATGACTCCACAACGAGCAACAATATCTGATGTATTTACATTGACTTATAATGGTACTGGTTTTCCATTTGTTTATGTATGTTTTATTGGTATTCTTTCAACACTTTTTTCATTTTCTGGATATGAAGGTATAAACACAAATATTAAATTAAGATTTTCAATTTTCTTTTTCTTTTTCTTTTAAAGCTGGTGCACATTTAGCAGAAGAAACTCAAAGTGCTGGCAAAGCAGGTAAAGCATATGAATTTATTTATAATTGTGATTGTTATAGATAAATTTAACGTTTTTTCTTAGCTCCTCATGGTATTGTTGGTACATGTATTTGTAGTGCTATTGTAGGTTTGATTTATTTACTTGCTTTACTTTTTGCTATTCCAAATGTATCAACATTTATGGAAACAAATAATAATGAAACAATAAATTTATGTATAGCTATTTATAAATTAGCAGTACCACATCGAGGTGCATTAGCACTTACTATTTTACTTATTATAAATCTTCATTTTGGAGGAATGTCTGGGATGACAGTTACAAGTCGAATTGGGTAAAAGAGATTTTAATCTTTGAAAAACAAATTTTCATTTTTATTTTAAATCAAACTAGATTTGCAATGGCTCGTGATGGTGTATTTCCTTGTTCTCGTTATCTTCGATGGGTATTTAAACCAACAAAAACTCCATTAGGAAATGTTTTATTTGTATTTATAATTGATTCAATACTTCTTTTACTTCAATTAATTTCCACAACAGCATTTGCTGCAATTATTGCAATTGCAACATTTGGTTATCAAGTCTCTTATTTAATCCCAATATTTCTTCGATGTACAATTGCTCGAAATAAATTTCCTCATGGAGAATTTAATTTAGGTCGATTTGGTATTCCAATTGCTATTTTATCATCAATTTGGCTTTCAATAACTTCAATAATTATGCTTTTTCCTTCGAATTATCCAATAACAAAAGATAATATGAATTATGCTATTGTAGTTATTGTTGGTGTAGCTATCATAGCTTCATTTTATTGGTTTATTTCTGCTCGACATTCATTTGTTGGACCTAAACGAACTGATATTGATCCAATACCATTACCAGCAGGACATATTACAGCGGAAGATGTTCGAAAAGAATCAATATTATTAACTCCACCTTCACCTGAAATCAATCAATCTCGAATGTAATTTTATTCATTGGTTAGTTTTCATTAGAAAAAAACTTCTTTTAAAATAACTCTTTCAAAATAATGAATATTATTTGTTAATTTATGAGAAAATAAAACGTTAATTATTTTCAAGATTTTATTCAAAATAGTGAACATTAAAAACAACCATCTTGAGGGTGTGGGTGTGATTATTAAGTTAATCACCCACATCCATCATTATTCCATTATGACCTATACTTATGTATAACTATTTGTCATATTTCGATTGGTTCTTTTTTTATAAAAGAAAATTTTTATTCTCAATCAATCTCAATGCAAAATATATGATGAAAAAAAACGTTTTTTTCTTTCCAACTATTTAATAGATGGCAATTGTACATAGCATCGTAATTTTGACTTCTACCGTTAAATTTCATGTACAGTTTTTCATTTTTAAAATGAATAGAAAAAAATTCATTCGTTTCTACAATAGATTATTTTTCCATATATTGAATTGAGAAAGTGAATGTTTATTTTCGAAAGATTTTCTTTCAGAAAGGATGTATAATGTATAGTTGTTTTTCATTCTTTGATGTAAACCAAATCAAATTTGTACATGTGTCGTATAGACAGAGAAACGAATCGATCAATAATCATTCGGCGATAAAGTTAGTTTTAGATTTTTCCATGGTGCTATATTTGATTAAATAGTGATCATGGGCAGTTTATTTATTTATTTATTTTTCTTCATTGTTTGGATTTTTAGAAAAGAAATAATGACAACGATAGAAACAGTAATACCTTTCGAAGAAAAGACTGCTCTTGATAATGAACCATTGACAGCAACAACTGAATCTACTATCTGTACTAAACTTGAAAGTTCATCTATATTCTTACTTGTTTGTATACTATATGGACTTATTATGACATGTAAGAAATTCTACAATGTTTTTTTAATCATAGATATGAGAATTTTATTTTCTAGTTTCACAATTATTTATTGGTTGGAAATATGTTTCTCAATGTCCAATTAATCCTAATATTCCTAAATATCTTTTTGTTAATGGTATTATTGGTATTTTTTCTGGTATTTTCGTTCAATATCGAACTTATCTATTAGCAAAAACAAGCAAATCATCTAAAGCAACAAACAATCGTAAAACTGGAGTTAGTTTAGCGACTGCTATGAATAATCCATTGCTTTTTATTATTAATATTGCTCATTATTGTCGGATTATTTTTTTATTTATTTGGTTTACATATGGATGTAAATGGATATTTGGTGTTTGGAATGAAGTTAAATATGATCCTCCAAATCATCCACAATTTTGTTTATCATTAGTATATCGATTGGCTTATATTCCTATACTTATGTCAATTGTATTTTTATTTCTATGCTCTTGCTGTTGCTGTTGTTGCTTTATTTGTATAGCATCAGTTAAAATGTTTCGCATACCGACACAAGGTGTTTAACAAATATCTTTATTATAAGTAGAATTACGAATCAATATACTGTCTTCTGGGAAAAAACAGAAAAACTTGACATTTTTTACTAAATTTTTGATCTTAACAATTTCTTTGTTTAGTTATCGTCGTAAAATGTTAAAATTGTCATATTTTTCTAAGTTTAACAAAAGAAGTAATTTTAATCTCAATCTACATTAGATTTGTCGCTGTATTATAGCTTATCATTTTTCCATCATACAACTGGATTCAATCAACCAGCGATCATTAGAATATCTTGATCAATCAATAGAATTTTACTTGTCTTTAAAATCTTTTGAGTATTCAAAAGAGTTATTGTTAACTCTTTTTCATTGTTGAATTATAATGTTTATAGAGAAGTTAATGAAACAACGAATGAACAAGCAACTGCGATTCTTTATGCAAACGATGCTGCTGTATCTTTTTTCGAATGCACACTAGGTTTACATAGAAATTAAGTTGAACAATAAAATGTTGTTAGTATAGTACTTAAAAAGCAGTGGTTGTAATTCTAGGATTAATTGAATAAATTTGCCAATTATCAATAACAAAAAGCCAGCTGAATTTAACACTATGAATACCCTGAAATGATGCTAATAATTTTTGTTTTTAACCATTGGCTCGAATTACTTTGATACTCGCTATTTCCTTACATGTTTGAAACGATCCGTGATTTATTATACGCTCTTCAACTTGAATAGTGCCACCAATAGTATTACTCTACCATGAAAAGTTATGATCTAATCAAGGACGTTTCGTCATTAAACGAATGGTATATTTTGAATCTCATTAAATATATTAAAGAAGAAAATTTTGAATAAAAAATTTGTTGTCATGTTCATTATTTTGTTTCTTTTTGTTGTAATAAAAGAATAGAAAAGAAAATGAGATTGCATCAACATTTATTATTCCTGTCGAATTATTTTCATTGTGTATTGACATAATTTCGAGTAGTCCATCAATAGTTAGAAAAAAGAAAAAAAATTATTATTCTTCATGTGTATATTTCATTTATTTTTTTGTTCCATTAAAAGCAACCGCCGAAGCACATTCAATGCAAACAAACAACTTTTTTCTTTACAAAAAAGAATACACGTATCGATCATCATTGATTTACTCGTTTTAAATGATAAAGTAACATAGAAATACGTTCAGATTCATCGAGAACAATTCAAATGAAAAGTTTTCTTAATTTATATTTCTTATAAAACATAAATATACTTTGTTTCATATTTTTCTAAATCATAGTAATTCGATTTTGTTTATTGTAGCAACAAAATTGCCAAAGGGTCTATTCAGAATTTAGTAAAATGAGATGAAATATTTTTGATTAATGCAACCACTTGATATGTTTTTTTCTTTTTCTTTTTCGGCTATTATTTAAGTACTTCGAACTTTTTTTGTCATTTTTCTCTTTTCGACCTACTCAACATGTTAATAACTTAATTCTAGATTATCTAGTAATTGTTTTTTTGAACGAATAGGAATCTAAAACAAAACATATAACAACACTTTTGTATTTTCATTATAATAATGAAATTTTCGCATCTAAGTTTAACAATTTTGATCTACGTTGGGATTTTTATGTAAGTATTGAAAATGATTATTCTTCTCTTAAATTTGTTCATTTACTTGTTTTTTTTATAGAACTCAATCCCAAGAACAAACAACCGGTAAGTTTCTAATTCTTATTATATTTGTTTGTTTTGATTTTGAATATTTTCAATTGTAGTTAATATAACGATAGCAACATGTAATGATTTTTCATGTAATCTCAAACGAACTCCATGTTCAACTAATCTTGATTGTGAATGTTTTTCTGTAACATCAAATTATTCAAGTGAAGGCATTTGTGCATCAGCATTCATATCTTGTTCAGCTCTTTTACCATGTGATATCAATAATACAACATGTTCTTACGATAACACAATATGTGTTCAAAATACACGCTGTGGTGAACCAGTTTGTTATCCTACACTTTTATCAAGTACATTAATATGTCCACCACTTCCAACAAGTAAAACAAAATTTATCATATTTTTCAAATTATTTATTTTTATTTTAAATAGCTACAACAAGTACAACTACTACAACAACTTCTACTTCAACGTCATCAACAAGTACCACCAGTACTACTACAACAACTACTACTACAACAACTACAACAACTACTACTACGGCCATACGTAGAATTAAATTGAAACATGAAATTATAAGACACATAAAGTTTTTATTTCTCTTTTAGCTTGTTCGTGGTCACAATGGGCAAATGGTGCGTGTAGTGTTACATGTGGTAATGGTATTTATATACGACAACGTCTATGTCTTGACTTAAAGGCTTCGAGTTGTAATAGATGTGACACACCAACAGATCCTATAAATGGCACTCGGCCTTGCTATTATCCCGTCTGTTCATGAAGCAAAATGGATTTGTTATAGAACAACGATATAGAGAAATTGTATTTTATATTTTTTCTTGCATTTTTTTCACTGATTCACACTGTTAAAGTATTCATTTTTATACTTGATTTTTCCATCTGCATTTATTCTTTTTAATTTCTAATATAATATTTTTATAAATTTTCACCGGAAATGAAATTCAATAAAATTCAAAGTTTTTTTCTTTCAAACAAAAAATGAAAAATAAACTGTAGACGCTATGATTTTCTAATCATATTTCAACTCTCTCTTTACAATAAAACAGTGAATAGTAACAATATTGAGGGTGGGTGTGAGTGTATCATACCTATGGTATCCATATCCATGTCCACACTCACACTTCACCCACCCTCAAGTCTATGGGATCGATTTTTATTAAGGTTAAAATAAACCATATTAGAATTATTATAAATATTAAAATTCACATTTGTTTATTTTTAATATAAATTTTTATGAAATATCAAAATTGAAAAAACGAATTTTTTATTGAAAATAAAATGTGTACTGGATTAAAATAAATAAGAACGAATTTTTATTTCCATTCGCGTAAAAATGACTTGTGAAATGTACGAAATTGATCGACAATTTGTTTTATTTCATCAGTTGGTGATAAAATAGTTATACGAAAATGATAAGTATTTGGTTGTTGTTTAAAACCACTACCAGGGACTACACAAATACCAGTCTTTTCAAGTAATTGAAAACAATAAAAAGTATCTGGTGTCATATTTAGAGATTTAGCATATTCAATTGCTTTTTCCGGTAAATCAATACGAGGAAAAGCATACATAGATCTAAAATAATATCAGATTGATTAAACAAAGAAAAGATAAACAATATAACGATTAATTACTAACCCCATAACTCGGTTACAATGAACACCTTCGACAGAATTGAATAGATCAGTTATTAAATTGGCTTTCTCTTTGAGACGATTTAAAACATCTGATCGTTCTTTTTCATAAAGTTCATAAGATGGTTCACCTTTTTTTGGTGGATTTATGATAGCATTCATTATCACTTGACCCCATGCTGTTGAACAAATACTAGCAGATACAAGTTTATTCACTTGTATTCGTACTTCTTCGCTTAGATTAATTAATTCATAATAACCACCACGTGAACCACATCTATGATAACACAATGAGTATATTTTTAATCGTAAGAAGAATCAAAATAAATCTTAACTTACTCGCCATGCCAACCTTTGGATGCCGAATGAAATGAAGCTAAATGAAAATAATTATTTCTATAATAGAACATAAAACAATATCATACCCATTTGCATTTGATTGTAAGGTGAACCAAGATCCATCATTATTTTTTTAAATGAATAGAATTTGGAATCGGTAAAATAAATATTTTCTTGATAGACTTCATCAGCCAAAATAAAAAGTTTATGTTTATACGCTAAAGAAAACGTATTGAATACATTATAATTTAGAGAAAAAAAACCAGGATCTATTTCTTACCAAATTGAATCACCATCTTAATGTTTTCTAATGAAAGTACTTGACCTAAATGTAAATATAAATTGATTATGAATTAATTAAAAACGATATTTTTTCTTACCGGTAGGATTTCCCGGATTAATAATAACAATACCACGAGGTATACAATATTCTTTTGCTTCATCAAATGCTCGTTGAAGTTCATCCAAATTCAATGCCCAATTATTATCTTCATCAAGATAATATCGAATTTGATAAGCACCATATAAAGATAATGTATCACTGTATAATGAATATTGTGGAATAGGAATCATCTACAAATATAATATTAGTCAAACAAAACCAATGTAGAAATTGTTAATTACAATGCCTGATGGTTTATTTTGATTATTATTCATAAGAAGTTTCACTACTAATCTGATTCCTTCTGTTGCTCCATTACAAAGATAAATATTGTTTGGATTAGCTGGATAACCATCACGACATTCGATATAATTAGCTATATCTTCTCTCACAGTAACAATTCCTTGACTTTCCGTATATGAACCAAGACTTTTCCCACTACAGGCATTTAATAAACGTTCGACTCGTTGTTTAATATCGATTGGAAAATCAGGCATATCCATCAAAGGAGGATAAGTACATCCAGCAACAAACTTTAAAATTAAGAATTATTTTATATTAAAGAAAAAAATCGAATGCGATGAATACAAACTTGACGAATATATGTAATTGGTGATTGATTGAAACTTGCATGTGGATCACCGATATTAGCTCGAATAACACGATTAAATGGAAATTGATTAAAATTCTTAAATAATTTATCATAATACATATGATTATCTTATTTTTTTTTCTATTCACTTACATTCTTTAGTTGTTGTTCAATTTCAACAGCTCGTACTACAGTAGGACCTCGTACAGCATCTGAAACACCAAGAATGTATGGATTCAAATTATCCATTGTCAATGATTCATTTTCTTTTTCTTGTTCTTTGTTAATCATAATGTTGTTGATTGTACAATAATTAGTTGTCGGAAGAGAAGTGAATGAAATTATCAAAATCTTCGAATATATATAAGGGCGTCATTGAATTAAATGAATCATCAATGATCATAGACAAATGAAAATTGGGCGTGTTTTTATTAATCCTTTTCTTTTTATATTTTATATTTACTCTGGATTATCATAAATAGTCTATAACAATAATAAAACTGTGAAAAAGTACATCGATTAATACTCACAAACATGTTAAAGTGCATTTTATCATTATTAATAGTACAATTGACAATGATCAAATGTAAAGTGACGAACGCCTTTATTAGTTGATTTACTCCCATATCATATAACAACATCGAGGTGAATAAATAGTATTATCTTGTGTATGTATGCGTCTCATCTTTTGAAATCGAGTTTGATTTCTTACGATTCATTTTTTCTATGTTTACATTGAAAAACTCTAGTTATAACATGTCTTTATTAATACAAAAAAATAAAATAGTCTTTTTCTTTTTTGATTTCTTGTTGTTTGACTATACAAATAGTTAAATTTATGAAAAAAAGTTATTCCATGGAAAAAAATCGATCGAAATTAAATTTAACTCAAACAAGTTATCGTCCTTACGTAACTTCATTCGAAAAAATACAATTTCATCAGTATCGAGGAAAAGGCACGATTGAAGAACCCTATATGATTGATTGGCTATTGGAAGATGCTGAAAATTGTCAAACATGGAATCCAACTTATAAATGGGCGTTGACTATTTTCGTCTCTGTTGCTGCTACAGCTGTTCTTTTCTGTTCATCCGTATATGTTGGAGAATTTGATGGTCTTACTCAAGATTTTCAACCTTCTCGTGAAATAATTACGCTTGGTATTTCAGTTAACGTACTTGGTTTTGCATTGGGTAAAATATTTTTTTTTCTCTATTACTTTTTATAATTTTGATTTGTTGTAGGTCCCCTTATTTGGGCACCATTTTCTGAAGTATTCGGAAGACGTATTATTTTTATTATTACTTTTGTGTCAATGACTGCTTTCAATGCTGGATCAGCAGCATCACAAAATATCTGGACTCACATTATTCTTCGATTCTTTGCTGGTGCTTTCGGTTCATCTGCTTTTGCCAATGTATGTTACATATCTTATTTTGTCAGTCTATTCTAAATCTATTAATTATTATTAGAGTAGTGGTACGATAGCTGATCTTTATCCAGCCAATCAACGAGGTCTTCCTTTAACCATTTTTGCTGCTGCTCCTTTCTTAGGACCTGTTTTTGGATCTATTATCGGTAAGTCATGGAAATAAAAATAAAAATTATTTATTAAATTAAATTAAATTAAATTAGGTGGTTTCACTGGTGCAGCAATTGGATGGAGATGGATTCAAGGAATTATGGCTATCTTTACAGGTATATTATCTATTATTGGAATAGTTGGTTTGCCGGAAACCTATGCTCCTGTTCTTCTTTATCGGCGAGCTAAAAAATTGCGCAAGATCACAGATCTTTTTTATCGTTCGAAATTCGAAGCAAAATCTCAAGTCACACTTTCTCATCTACTAAAAATTTCTTTTTCTCGACCATGGATATTCCTTTTTCGTGAACCAATCGTTCTTTTTTTTGCAATTTACATGGCTGTCATTTACGGTATCATGTATATGTTACTTGGTGCTTTTCCAATAGTCTATCATGAACAGAAAGGATGGGCACCTGGAATTGATGGTCTTCCATTTCTTGGTATGGCTTTAGGTATTGTTATTGGTACTTTGTATTGTATCTGGGATAAACGACGATATACTAAAGTAACAGCAATATATACTGGTACTTTTGTTCCTCCAGAAGCACGTCTTCCACCAGCAATTGTTGGTGCTTTTGGTCTCCCTATAGGATTATTTTGGTTTGCCTGGACTAATTATTCATCAATACATTTCATAGTTCCTATTCTGGCAATTGTACCATTTGGATTCGGAATAGTGCTTGTTTTTGTAGCTTTAATAAATTATATGATCGATACTTATACTATTTATGCAGCAACTGTTATGGCTGCTAATTCTATTCTTCGATCATTGTTTGGTGCTGCTTTTCGTAAGTATTCTTTGCTTTTTTTAAAATTCTATTCACTTGTATATTTGTAGCTCTGTTCACTGCCAGAATGTTTCGAAATCTTGGAATCCAATGGGCTGCTTCGATTGCTGGCTTTTTAGCTCTTCTCTGCCTACCATTACCATACATTTTCTGGAAATATGGTGAAGTTATTCGAGCTTGGTCCAAATATTCATCTGAAGCAACTGCTTCTAAACTACAACTGAATGAAACAAAAACTAACGTTGAATCAAATGCTTCCATGATCTACGTCGTAGAGAACAATAATGTGTAGAATGAAGAATAAATTTAACTTTTATATGTTCAATAAAAACTATCTTGAGGTGGGTGTGGCTATGGTGTGAGACAACTATTAAACATCCACACCCACACCCTCAAAATTACTTTTCGGAAAGGGTCAGCTAATCTATCGGATGAGCGCTACTTGTTATTTAAACTTTTGGTTGAAGGGCACATGTATATATATATGTTTTGAATTTCACTTAAAGTATGGTTGCGAAATTTTTTATTCTTGATCAGACGACACGAGTGTTCTCTATTATTCTCCTTTTGCCTCCTCACGGCGACATCGAATAGCATTATTATTCATTTTATTTATCTACTTTCTGATACATTTTTTTAAAGATTATTCGGCATGCTTAGCAACTTATTATCAGGATCAATTATATCCTTGACAAGTTGATTTGAAAGAATAAAATATCACATGATAACATGGTAATCCAATCAGAAGAGTTCGTTTCTAATTCAAAGTATAGAGAGTATTAAGAGACTATGCATACACTACTTATAAATGTGGCATTTGAAACGTGCCATTTGAATGCTAATACGTTTTGTTTTCTAGACAACAATATTATCTAATTTATCTAGTGTCATTATTTCTGATGATATCTTAGAAAAATTTCCATTTATTCGAACAATTATTACACCAATCGACGTTCTTGTCCTTTTCTTTCCAGGTTCTTGTTTTTCTTGATTTTCAGGCAGGATTCTTTTTCTATTCCTTACATGCAAGATTCTTGCCTGAAAATTTTTTACATACAAGATTCTTGTCTGAAAAAACTGATCTTGCCTTTCTTGTGATATTCGTGTAGACCGAATCTTGTCTGATGAGGCAAGAAATTCTTCTTCAGACAGATTCTTGTTCTCATATTTTCTTGCCTGATTCTTGTTTTCCTTAAATTCTTACCTGATTCTTATCATTCTTACTTTCTTGTCTGATTCTTATCCTTCTTGATTTTCTTGCCTGTTTCTGATTTCTTAGGCTTCTTGCCTAATTCTGGTCATATTAAAAAAGCCTTTTTTAGGTTATTACTACCTTTTTCATATCGTTTTATTATAAGCATTCCACAACATGTACAAAAAAACACGAAAGAACAAAAAAATACTTTAGTTTTCACATATTCATGAAGTAGTTTTAATTTTTAACACAAAAAAAAATAAAAAACAAAATTTTTATTATTTATTTTCTTAAAATTTTACCGATACGAAGAGGATTATCAAACAATAATTTTTTAAATAAATCAATATTTTCTTCGTCCATTATATGTAATACTTTTATCGATAGTGAAAAATCTAGAAAAAAAAATAAAATATATAGATATGAATTAGAAAAATATCAAAATATGTTCAATAAGGATTACCTTCAGTAAACAATGAGAAAATGGATATCACATATTCCATTGTTTTCTTTATATGAAATAAACTTTTACTATGCATCCAGTTAAAATAATAACTTACTAGATGTCGTCCAAACGAAATAAACGATTTGGGAAAATAAAATAGTGTAAGTGAATGTGTACTATACTTATTCAGTCAGTAATGGCTATGAATAAATAACGGTCAGCCAATGCTTTTATATATATGATAAACAAAGACCATATCACGTGCCGTTCATCTTGGAAAGCTGGCAAGAATATTTTTTGCTTTTCTATTACGAGAATCTTGTCTGAATAGTAAGAAATTTAAAATATCTTATGTTTCTTTCCAGTTTCTTTTTATCATGAACTTCAGTCAAGATTCTTTTGAGAGAGAAGAAAAAGATTCTTGTCTGAATATTAACATATCTTGAATATCTTATAATTCTTGCCTGATTCTTTTATTTCTGATTGTTCAGACAAGATACTTGTCAACTGAAAATTCTTGTATGATTCTTTTTACTTTCCTGTCGAAAAGAATCTTGCCTGAACACAAGAATCTTGTCAGAAAATCAAGAAAAGCAAGAACCTGGAAAGAACAGGACAAGAACGTCGACTAGTGTACTTATTATAAGTTGATTATGAGAAACAAAACTGACTTTACAATTTTTAATATTATTCTCAAAACTATATTCAGTAATTTAAACAATGATGAACGAGCTTATCGTTATGATAATATAGTTCGACAGTTTGCGGCCAGCGTTTACATTCTTGGAGGTCGTACAGCATATGAATTTTTACGTTTAAATATACTTGTACTTCTTCCAAGTGTACGAATTATCCAGTCGTATATTGCTTCTTTTGAAAACCACTTAACGGAAGGATCATTTTAATTTAAATCTTTATTGATCTTTCACGTCCGCTTGATGCTAATGGAATACATTGTTTTGAAAATTGGTGTTCGACCTTACCAGCAGCTTATGTACTGTCTTGATGGAGTCAAATATATCAAGAATTCAAAAGTAGAGGTATTCGTATCATTGGTTACTCCAGTGATTGCGACAGTCGATATCTACTTGCTATGGAAGCAACACTTGGATTTTTCGCACATTTGGCGTTCGTCGATTATACAGATTTATTTACCATTAATCTTCATGCAAGATCCAATGCATATTTGCACTAAACTACGAAACCGATTTTTGTCAACAATAGCAACACTTCTTTTTGGCAATGTATTAATTAATATTAATCCTCTTCTTTATATCGCCGACAATTTCTTGCAATCTGACTATGAACTTATTCGTTCTGATATAAATCCAAAAGATAGACAAAATTACGATTCAACGATAAAAACTTCAAATAATAAAGTTTTGCATTTACTTGATCACTCACACCCACACCGCCAATTTTTCTTCGTTCTCAATAAACCACAATTTTCTATTATAGATAGTTACAACATTTGATAAGTTATTTAACGACTAGCACAAAAAAGTACAATTGAAGATCACGAAAAGACAACTAGAGAAAGAACTGGTTGAATGCAAACAATATAACTAAGTTGCTCAAGTTAATAGGGATATTAAGTACGTGAACGAAGATGTCTTTAACGTGCACTAGGGATACTTTGATGATTTCAAATTTAATGTATTCAAACAATTTCCATATTTACAACAATTAAAAATTAATAATAGTTTATTAATGAAGAATTAATTGATATTATATAATTCTAATCACATATTTATGAATAAATTCTATTAATTATTATTTTCTTTATCAAAATCAGAATATTTGAAATATATGCTAGAAATAAAAAAAACAGTATGATATTTATTACCAAAAACAATTTATAAACAATTTACTGAATTTGAATATTTATCTACTGATCATACTCGTAATTTTTTACAATAATATCTTGTTCATCGAAAACGTATTATTTAATAAACTTTTTTTATGATAAAAAGAATGACTCATATATATATGTATTTTTTTATTAGTTAAAAATCAGTGATCGTACAAGCCCAACAGTGTGAGGTAACATCAAAAACAAAAACAAAATTTTTAAGAGATCATATACTATTACGATTGAAATCAATGTAGCGATGATATTTCATATCAAACGAAAGCTCATAAAAGATCATTTTATTAATATTAATCTTTGCTATTTTTAATTGATTATTGTGTAATTATAATTCTACCGATGAGATAAAATCAGAGTTATTATTTTACATAGTAACTTATGCATAGAGGTAGGACAGTTCCATATTAGTTCCGTTCTTAGGAACTGTTTAATAGTTCCTTTGAAAAGAACTGAACTGAACCAGCAGTTCTTTTGACCAGTTCATCTGAACTTGGAACTGCGAACCGTATTACCCCTAAGAACGATAGTTGATTTTAATTTCCATTCGACTCTAATTGATCTTGAAGGTGAGTGAGGGTGAAAAACAAAACATTACGATTTTTTTCATTTCACCCTCGCTCTTATCGCTGCGATGGCACCATCAGTCCGCACCCAAATTCACACTCAAGACGGTCATACATCACTCTCACACCTATCCTCACAGAAGAAGCAGTAAAAATATACAATTTTTGCTTAAAAAACACAGAATTAAAAATCATTTTAATTTGCCTTACAACATATATTTAAAATATTCAGTAGCAATATATTAACTTCGCGTTTTTTTTATCAAATCATCAACTATTAAACAATCGAATTATATTATAGTTTTAATTTAAGAGTATTGGGATAATTATTGACAATAGTATGATATTAATTCAAACATAGATGTTAGATTTATTCGAAAAAAACGGCATAGTTTTAAAAAATAATAAAACAGAAAGAAATTAAATATTAATTAAAGTGTTATTAATAATGTACAAAAAAAACATTCAAACTTTAATTCATTGGCATTATGTGCTTATTGAAAAAGACCCAGTTGTTCGAATATCACCATGTACATATTCATATCAGTACTAAAGATTTCCTGGATAAGTTTCTTTGCACCACCAGACTTTTTCTTATCTATAAATTCTTCAATGTTTATCATAGCTCCATTGGGATTAAAATATTCTTTTAAATAAAACATAGATCTTTTGTTCAATTTTTTAAACTAAATATTCTTTATACCTGTCCTTGTTCCATATTGTGGATTATGATATGTTAAAAAGCCATATGGATTGTAGAATTGTATTGAATCTGCATGGTTATTGTATAAGTAGTATGAATTCATCGTGTCTCGTTTGCAAATGAATATGTTATAGATGAAAATGAATATTTGACATATATTTTTTCTTCTCTTATATACTATATGTAAAATGATAAATAATGTAAAGGTGTAAAAAATATAATTAACACAAATTAAATTTGTCTATGTCAAATTTCTTCCAGATAGTTACCCAAAACAATGTGCATATACGTATAGTTCACATGTTTCAAAAAACAAAATTATCAAGCATATCAAAAACTACCAATAACAAATTATTCTTTTCATTTATTATAATCATGATAAGAAAATGTAAGCGAAAATAAATTTTGTTTATATATACTAATAGGTAAAAGTACAACAATTTTAAAATGACAGTTGTAAGTTTCTATTAAATTACCATGTTGTTATGTCTAATCGATATTTTAGTTTGTTTTCATCGTTTAATATTCATTTTATTATAGGGACTGATATTATTATTAATTCGAATTTTTTAAATGTAATGAGACGATCAATAGTCAGATAGATTCTGATATGTTTCTTGCTTTTATTTCTGAATAAAAGAATCGATTCTTTTCATCTTTTTTTCTTAACAAAGAATGATCATTTGACCTTCATTTAATATGTCTTCATCAATTGTTTTATTTTGTTGCAATAGTCAAGACAAAAGAATATATCGCGATCAGAATAGAAAGTTTTTATTTTATCTTATTTTTTCATAGTAACCAGTACAATATCTTCGGACATTTCATATAGGATCTTGTATTTCTTCTGACTTTCAATCAGTGAGTTTTCGCTATGAACATCTTTCTGAAGTCTGCTTTGTCTATTATTTTCACTTTCACTCAATAGATTAGAGTATTTTTCTTCATTTGCATGCTAACGATCGAAACAGTTAGAATGCAAAATTAATTCATAAGATATATTGACATACTTTTGTGTAGTATGTATCAGTCACTATCGTCTTCTTTACTTATCTAAAAGAAAAATCAAATGTCTGATAGTTTTGTCAGCTACATAATATTATAAAATACGTTTTCATTCAATATATATATATATACCGAATTACAGATAAAACTATATATCCTTTCTCCAAAATTATCAAACTAAAAATATAATAATACATTAAAACTATAGTTTCTAATCTATACTCTTGATAAAATTCTCCAGACGATATTTTAATAATAAATTTCATAGATAATTATAAAATTAAAAAGAATATATAGAGTAATTATTTGCGAATAAATTCTTCATAAAATGGTGGTGGTTCTTCCCAAGGTTCAGCAAGTAAGTTTTCTTCTTTCAAAGCCTTATTCCATTCTTGAATAGCATCACTTTCGAAATATGTTTGTAATGTATCGGGTGTAGTATCCTATAAGACATAATAACAAACATTTATTAATGTTCAAAATAATAATTATACCCATTCTTCAAAAATAACAAACGTTACTACACCATTTTTCTTGTCAAGACTACGCACTGTTCGATATGTATGACATGTTGGTGCAGCAGATGAAAGAGCGAAATCTCGACAAGCAACAATTAATGATTCAAGACGCGTTGCACTTGCTTCATCTTTAGCTTTAATCTGTTTCATTAAAAGTAAACATTAAGGGAATGAATAGATCCTAATATTTACCGTAGCAATTATAACAAAACGACCAGCAGATGTTTGTGGAACTTCTAGAATAGGAGTTGTAGAAGATGTACTCATTAGAAAGTAGGATATATCTTTTGTTCTAATACATTATTCTTTTACAAGCTATATATTGTTATTATGATGAAAGCAGGAGAAAGAATGGTATTAGTTTATCTTTTTTTCCCTATCAATTGCATTTAGTAGTATTTTTATTCCACAGAACGAAAGATTGCCATCAGGCAATGATGTCGTTTTTTTCTCTTTGATGTTGTGGATAGATAATCGAGATAATATTTTCTTATTAATACACATTGAGGATTGACAACTATTCAACATATTTGCTTCGTATATGTCGCATTTTATATTCATCTATCATTGTAAATAACAAAAGAAAAACGTAATCCTTTTATTATTTTGATGAGAACAGCAGGTATAGCAATGTATAATAATCGATATTTATTTATTTATCCTTTCCCACTCATCAGTAAAATTATTATCTCTCATAAGAATATTTTCTATCTTTATTCATTGTATTCTGTTTCAATTCTCTCATGTAATATATAATTGTAAAGAACGAGATTCTTACGTTGAGTCGATATAGAAAATATATACTCATTAATTCTCAAATCGATTTTATTTTTAATATGTCATTGAATCATTAACATTGTTGGATTGTTGTCCTACTGAAATTAGTTTTCATATATTCGATGGTTTTCTAAGTGAAGAATTAAAATCAATATTTGAAAGTAATCAATTTAATAATTTACATATAGGTAAAAGAAAAAGGATTTAAAACTTCAACGATTTTATCTCGATTTTAAAATCAATACTGGTTTGATAAGAAATTTATCATTTGGAATGCATGACAAACTATTTCATATCAAATCTATTATGTTATCAATAGAAACTATATATGATTTAATATTTTTTAAAACAACTTAAAATCAAAATGCATAAGTTAACTGACATTAAATTTCTTAGTGTTCCATCTTTTTCTTCTGTTGAATTTATGTCTGGATCGATAAAGAATCGATCATTTTTGTTTTTCAAAAACCCAGTATAAACATTTATTATTTGAGAGTAATGGTGGATGTCTGTTTCTTTCACTCACACCAAGTTGATTGATAGTGGGAGACCTCTGTTGATGCTAACAGTGATGATATTTGCAAATTTTCGACATTTATTATAACATAGACATTTATTTTCAATCTAAACAATTTCGAAGTTTATTTTTCAATTTTTTTGTGTTGATATTTTGTCTTTTGGTGTTTTTGCATCCAATCTTGTACTGGACAAACATCTATTTTTAATCTGATATATTTATATGCCTACAAGTTCTTATCATTTCACTTTGACAAATACTTAACAAATATACAATTTCACTTGCATCCAACGTTTCTATTCTCGTAACGTTTTTTGCGCACATGGCTCAACCGAATACAATCAGCATTTGTCAATTGAACTGCAACGGTATCCAAGCTGGCATGGAAACAATTACAAGACTTCTAGCCATTCTTCATCGTTATAATTTCGAAATCAAACCGGTAAATTTTCATCCGGGATGTATACTTTATGTCTGTATTCATCGTGGATTAGGTGTCGATCCGAATCCACTTAATCAAGAAATGATGATTCACAACACCCCCGTCGGAAAAAAACAGCTTTACACTATTCAATGGACATTCGCTTAACAAATGCGTCGTTTGCTTGTGAAAAATACTACACAATGATCATCTGTGTTTTTCCTCATCGATGCTTTCCAATTCTCGATAGCATCATCGGTTTAATTTCGGATGGATTTGTCTTTGAAATAAAGTCTTTTTTATGATTATTCATTCAACTGATAAGCTTTGAAAGAATAAAAGTCATTTTTGTGTACTCAAAAAGTGAGTACACTACTAGAATCGGTCAGTGTGTCCGGCCGTCCGGCCGTCCGTCCGTTTACACGATAACGCACGAAAGGAGAGTCCGATTGAGCTGAAATTTTCAACATAATTCAGTCTCATCTAGATCTCGGTCGAGTTCGAAGATGAACCTAATTGGCCGGGCCATTCCCGAGTTATTGAAAAAATACTGATATTTCCTGTTTTTGTTGTATTGGGATATTGACGTATTTTGACTTCGACAAAAAAACTTTTTTTTATAAGCAAATAAATCTTCAGCTATTATATACCATTCGATAGAGAATTTCAAGG